GAAGGTTGGCTGCCTGGCATGCGTAGATAAATTGAGTTGAATGGAGCGCTACTGATTGGACTTACAATCCGGAGCTGTGAGCTGGTAGCTAGCTGCTGGTAGCTGGATTGGCCACCTGTCCCTCCTCCTCCTCCTCCTCCCAGAGTATCTTTCAGATTTTCAATTATGGTTAATCATGCAAATGTTTGTCGCCTGTGAAAATGTTTTACATAATGCAAAGTGAAATGCCGCCCCAGCTCTATTCAGGCCATTCAAGGGAGTTTCAAGCCGAGCAGAGCATTATAGTCCAATGCATACATGAATAATTGTCTTTTTGTGTGTCCATCTTGCAGATGCTGCTGCTCTGCTGCTGCCGTATCCCTGGGATATGATGAGCTGCTGTGCTGCTCAGGTAAGCCGAGCAATTTTTGCTGCCTGATTTCACAACTCCGACACCAGAGTGTCAGGTTGTGGCACATTCCCTAGCCCCTATCCCCTATCCCCTATCCTGATCCCTCTCTATTCTGGCCTTTGCTTCGGTTTGGGATTAGAAAGCAACCCCGAAACGTGTCACATTATGCCAAGAGGATAGGTTAGGATAGGATAGGTAGGGGACATGTCCTGTCCCTTTTGCAACCGATTTTGGTTTCGGGATTAAAGGAGAGAATGTCCATTCGAAAGGCATGTATCTTCATTGAGCCAATGCGAAATACCTGCAAAGGTAAGTGAGCATTGGAAATGCTGCAATCAAAGGGGATTTGGGTTGGGCAGAGGGATGAACAAAGTAATTTGAAAGTGGTTAGGAAAATGATCTTTCTGTATCCTCAGGAAATGAACAGGTTCGTTTTGAGATACCAAAAGTAATTTGAAATGGATTTCCACCTCATTCTGCTTGTGTTTTGTAAATAATTATTCAAAGGAACTGAAATTTCTGCATTATGAAAATTAATATTCATAAATATTTCCTTTTCAGATGGTATTCTCTCTCGCTTTGCTTGTATAAGTGCCAGAATTAGGACTGAATTCAGCTTGTAATATCCTAGGAGTCGCCCCTTAATCCATTCAATTATATTCCTTAGAAGGTTTGTGCAGTTTTCCATGCCGCATAACATGAAATTTCAACTTCGTGCGACTCTAATGTATTTGAGGTAATTTATCAACTTTTAATCAAATGCATTTCCCATGCATATACGGTGATGCTCCCTGCCTCTGCCATCCCGCCATATAATATATGTCCGTTGCTCATGCCATTACGTGTTACGCAATAGCCACCCCCAAAAATCCAGGAAAACTACCCCTCCTCACCATCGCCACTATAGCTCGAAAGCATGGCTGATCCTTTACAGTTTTTACATGCATTCCCATGCGTATTCCTCCGTATGTGTGTGTGCCATTTGGTCATAAATTCAAAAAGCTGGCCCAGCTTAAATTTTGGTTTTTCAATTTTTGAATGCCAGACCTCTGACAACCCCCGGACCTCCATGGATCCCCTTGCCAGCTCTCTTCGCCTTTCGTCCTCCGCCGACCAGCATCTCGCATAGTTGTGCGTGCAACTGTAAAACGTGTTACAGGGACCGGCCAATGTCCTGTTCCCCTCATACCCCCGTACCCTCGATCTGTCCCGTCACAAAAACCATGAGATTTCATTTAATTAAAGCATTTAGGCTGGGGTTTTTGATTTCGACGCCATATGTGCGTTGAATATATTAAATATACAAACACAATCCTTTTCAAAGGACATCAGCCAGGCGGCAGCACCTAAACAAATATGTTAGATTGGCCTGGGCTAGGACAAAATATCAAATACAAAAAAAGTGCAGCTTAAGAAAGGTTAAACAAAGGTTAAGCTCGGGGAGCAAAAGGTTCAAGCCTTGCGGCCCGAAAGCCAACTCATCAAAGTTATTTAGTTAAAATTAGTGCCTGTCGAGGATGTCTCCCCAATATGCCAAAGTAAACAAGACGACGCAGAATCATCCAGCCAAGAGTCGAATAGCTCGAGGGCCTGGCAAAGGACACGAAAACGGTTTATGGGGATGGGATGGCATGGGTATATAGGGGCTATAGTGGGGACTTCTTCGGGGGACAATGTCGTGCTGCTGACAAGTGCGATGACAACGTCAAAGGCTGGCTCTCCTCCAAGCCAAGGCTTCTGGTGGTGGTGCTGCTGCTGCTGCTGCCTTTGCTGCATGCCATGCTCGACTAGCTGCGAGGCACCTTTGGGAAAAAAGACGCTCATCTGGAAAATCAACTTCGACTTTCGGGCCACCCAGGCAACAGCAGCACAAGCAGAAGCAGCAGCAGCAGCATCCGCATCAGCATCGCCAAGGAGCAGCAGCAGCATCAACGAACCGCAAATCATAAAATAAACTCTTTAATTACGCCTCACGACTTGCCAAGGCAGACACGCAACAAGCCCAGGCCACAGTCGAATGGAAAATTATGCAAAATGCAACAGCAGCAGCATCGCTTGCTGTTTGCCACAGCAGCAACAGCAGTGGAGAAGCCACTTCCGAAAATGTGAGTAAAATTATAAAATCTTTGGCACGACAATGTTGACGACGACGAAACTGCAAATTACCAAATTATAAACGAACAACAACCAACAAACTGCTAAGCACAAAGAAGGAGAACTTTAAGGAATCGAACACTTGAGTTCCCTTTCATTAAATTTAAAAGAAAAACACTAAGTTATATTTATTATAGGAAGTATAATAAAGTAAAGTTTTATGTCTTAAAATAATTTGTTTTTGAATAAAAATTGCGTGTTCCTAGCGCAAAATAGATACAGTAGTCTCAAGCCAATTATAAGTAATTTGTAGGCAAAACTAGCAAAGAAAACTGAAAATCATATAGTACATAATTATTTTACATTATGAATGCAAATTACATAATTAAGTGTAATTTGGGTATACTTTTAGGGTATTTCATGTAGCCTTTGATAAGCCGTATTTAAGAAATTATGCTTATGAATTTTCTACTAAGCATTTCTTTAATAACAATATTTTTTTAAATTTCTCTAGTTTATCTTTTGAAAAGGGTATTCAAAGCATACCATGTAAAATCCTAACAAAAAAAAATATCATTTAGCTGCCGATGATGAGGCAGAAGTGGCTGGTATTTACCAGGAAAGAAAACCGGGGGGAAAAACTGAAAATGCACTCGGACTCTCACACACTCGGCATACTGGCTGGCATCCATGGACAGCCGCCCCCCTGCTGGAAGGCGCACATTTAAACAACCTGTCTCTGCGCTCCCCCTCCTTGGCAGTTAGTTCACAGAAAAGTGCCCACCTTTCCCGGGCTTGGCACCCACTCGATTATCACCGAAAAACGATTGACCTCACGAATTCGTAATTAATTTTCACAAAAGTTTTCCATTCGAAGACAAACTTCAAACAAAAGCAGTGTCTGTGTGTTAGTGTGTGTGCGGATTGGTTCGCTTTTGGGTTCAGTTCAGTTTTTGGGATTGCTTTTGGAGGAGCACCAGCACCAGCCCCATCCCCGCTCCTTTTTCCTGCGGCTGCCAAAATGTTTAAACATTTGAGCGCACACACATCTCTGTGGGGGGGCAAAGTGAATGCTGTTGCTCTGTTGCTCATCTGCTCCGGCTCTCGAACCCGAACCCGATCCCGGTTCCCCCATCCCCCCCCTGAATCAGTGCCACTTCTGAACCCTCTTTCACCTTGTTGCTGCTGCTGCTGCTGCCTGGTTGCTTAGTTTGCCAGTTATGTGTGTCGCTTAAGTGCTGAAACAATGTTCCAAGTTGTAAGTGCAACAAAAGCGGCCCCGGCAACTCGGTAACATGGCAGTGAACGAAGCCAAAAACCAAACTGAACCGAACTCAAACTCAACTGAACTGAAACCTGGAGGAGTGCACCAAAAATAAAGTGTGTAAAAATGAGCAACTTTTTCAAGTGAGAAGCAACTATGTGGCATGCAGCTAGCTGCACGCTCACCACTGCTGCTGCTGCATCTCGGGCGACAACGACGACAATGACGGGCAGATTTTGGTCGGGAATGCACAGGAAGAAATATAAAGCCTTTATTATATATTAAAACAACTTGGTTGAAATTAATTAAATATCTTTACTTATAAAACAAAGAATTTCGGAATTTTAAATAAGTAATTAAATATTTTAATTAATTAATAAATTTAAAATCATGACTGTAAATTTAAGTTCTCCGCTATGAAAAGTGTATAAACTTTTCTGTAATCTTTTAAAAACACAAACTTTCGTATAAGAAATATTTATTATCTTCCGAATATTTGCTACTGATATAATCTCTCGGGAGATACTTTTCCTCTGTAGAGCGACGACTCGCAAAGATACAAAAATTTTCACTCGTACCGTACCCTCTTCTCCTGCTTTCCGCCCACACTTGCCCCTCCTTCTTTTCCCCCCTCATGTGTGTGTATGTGTGTGCACAATTTTCAAACTGGCAGCGTAAAGTGCACAAATTGCAATTGTAGCTGGGGCGCGGGAATCAGGACAAGACTGAAACAGGGCGGACGACAACGAAATGGAGGGGGTGGTGGGACACACTGAAGGAGGAGGAGGCAGAGGGACACACTGGAGTATCAGGAGGATGAGTACGAGGAGGAGGAACAGGACAGTGGGGCGGAAAGTGGCATCTAGAGTGTGTGTGGAGGCGTCGTCGATTGTAGGCCCATGCCTACAGCCAGACATGGTGGGCTCTTCAACTGCAGCGACTACAGCGACTGCAAAAAGTACTCCCCTGTACAGTGAACACTTGACGTCGAGGCCACAAGACATTAATTACAGCGCTCAAGAAAAGAACCAACAAATGGTAAAGTGAATTAAAAAGAAGGGCTTACAAAAGTGGTAGCTTTTGTATAGACAAAATAGTTAAGGTAGAATTAAAGGCAAGGCTACTAATTAAAGTAAACAAACTAAAAAACTAAAAGTTAGTCATTGTATTGAATAATATTATTATTCATTTAAAGTTATCTATGCTGGTTTATATTTTGTTTACAAATCTATTTAGACTATATAAACTTACCTATACATTTGATATCACCATTTCCTTTTGTGTTCCAGTGTCTTTAAAGCCAATGACTGAAATTAAGAAGATTAAACAAATTATTAAGATTTAATTAAGAAAATGTAAGATATGTAAGATTAACTTTTTCTATTTATTATATTTTTTAACTAAACTGTTAAAGAAAATCTCTTCTCTTTACCTCTTTAGAGTATTTATATCTCCCAAAACCTCAAACCCTACTTTTCTCTCGTTTTCTAGTTCGGTCTCGTGCTGACCAAATGCAAAGTGCAAGTCCAAGGCAGCACCGGCACCATGTTCATTGACACTTTGATATGATTGCAAGAGGAGTGGAGCTGTGAGCTGCCAGAAAGGTGTAGTAGGAGGAGGATGGGTGGGAGAACTTGATAGACGGCAGAGCAGAGGAATCTTGTGGTTAGTTTGGCCAGCCAAAGTTTCATTTTGGGCCATCTTCTGCACAACAACACAGTTTACAACTTCTGGTCAGCTCGTCGTGTTGGAGCAAGAAATGACGTTGCACAAAAATCGCTCTAAAAAGTGTCTCGAAACAACAGGAGGAGGGGGGACATTCCGCTCTTAAAGGTGCAAAAACCTTAAGTGGAGCAAAATATGTATACTACATATAGAAAATGACAAAGTTGATGAGGTGTTCTTTCGGGGCGTTGGAAAATTAATTTTCGGCTGGGATGACATTCAACTCATCGCCCCTTTTGTACCGCTCACTTGCCAGCAGCCTTTGTTGTGTGACTTGTAACTTTAGTTTGTTGTCTGGGGCACTCACAATTTCGCTCTAAAGTTTAATTTCAACGCTTGACTTGGAAAGTTTTTTGCCAGCCAGCCCAAGTGACAACCTACACTGAGAGATTTTGGGATCTAAGGTTAATTTTAAATATTTTGTTGTATTTGTTTATATTGAAAACCCTGCAAAAGCCTCTCCAAGGATTCTTTTCTGATCAACAATAACCTATAAAAGAACCTTAGTTAATTAATCAGTATGATTTATCCCATCTTACAGAATATTTCTTCTCAGTGCAAAGTCAGAAAGGTTGAGGCAAAAGTCGAGCGCGAACTCATAGTAGATCTGAAGCTGAAGCTGATGCTGAAGCTGAAACTCCTTCTGGCCAAGTCGACACAAATTGCTGCAAAGTTTTTTGGCATTCAAGTGTTTTAATGTCTCACGAGTTGTTGTGGAGTCACAGACTCTTGGCCCTCTTCCGCACTCCACACAGTATACACTCTACACACTCCACTCCACACATGAATTAATCAAAGAGCAGCAGCAGCTGCAGTTGTGTGGCATTAAGTACGTGGATAGTAGACATGGGGGCGCAGCGCAGGTGGGTTGAGACCGTAAGACCGCAAGACGGTGGCGCCGCTAGACAAATTCAACTTAATCAATTTAAAGTGCTTACCGCAAAGTCAACAGTTCAAACTAACCGCAACAGGAGGGCGAGAGGCAAAGGCAAACACTGGCCCGCCCGTCCGCCCATACCCATGCCCAGTATACCCCCTTTCTGGCCCTGGGTTATTAGGCAAATTGTCGCCACATAGATACACACTCACACAAAGGCAGGCAGGAGCACAGCAGGTTGCCGTTGACCAACAAGTGACCAAGGTTCAGTTTTACCCCCCATGGACGACAAGTATCCCTTACACTTTTTTTTTTTATATTTTGTCTTGGCCCACCCCCGCTGCTCGCTGACGGTTTCCTTGTCCTTTGTTTGCCAACGTGTATTTGTGTTTACTCTGCTGTCAACATTGGAAAATTATGAAAATTAATATGAAAATTGTTGCTATTTACGGCTAGTTTGCCTTGTTTGTGTGTGCGTGCCTGCTGCCTTGCCTGCTCTCGGGTTTCAAGTGCGGCAATTGTTGGTTTTAGATTTAATTACTTGAGTCAACTTGAGCCTTAATTTGATTGAGTATAATGTGACATTGAGCCCACTCACTCTTCCTCCCAGTGAGGGGTACAATTAACCCGGCCAATTTGGCGGACTTACGCACGGGAAGGACCCTCGAGCGACCGAGAAAAAAAAACAAAGAGCCCTGAAGCGGCCTGCGGATGCAAATCGATTGAGAACCCTACCAAGGTAAACACGCACACACTCGACATTTGCATCTTTGACAGCTCTATTGTTGGTCCTTCTCCTCGACTCGCATCCTGCCACGCACTCACTTACAATATGCAAGCGAAACAAGGGGGAAACTGCATTGATTGCAATGCAGGATATGCAGGGGGACTTACAGGACCCCTTAAGGGCAATCGAAGATGTAAATGCAAACCATATGTAGGGTGCATATTTTATAAATGGTTAGGGAAAAACTTATTGCAAACTATTATTGCAACTATTATTCAACTTTTATTACTTTGTAAGCTCCACAACAAATTACAAAAAGGATTATCTTGGAAATTCTCTTCAATCAAAAGGGCAGTAAAACCATTCAAATAAAATCCCTTTACAGCATTTGAACGCAATAAAATCATAAATCCCAGATGGAAATTCTAACAACATGCATTGCAAAGGAGCTCAATATATATGGTCGTTATACTTTCTAAGCCACTTAAGCGTAATTTTTATTGTTCGCCCCAAACTAATCCCATGTCAATTGTCAACGCTGGCGCTCAAGACACTTAAATGCAGATTATGCATGTCAAATGGAAGCCCACACTTCAAAATCAATTAGCAGAGAGGGAGCTTTTTCAAAAATTCAGAGAAATAGAAGGAAAAAAGTAGCAAAGAACAAACATGTGGGCCAGCGCTGGGAGTTGCCATTAAATGCTCGATTATAATGACAATTGACGGCTGCAATAAAACCAAATTGCCCCGTCAAATGCTCAACCAGCTGGACTAAAAGGCCGACCGGGCTTGGGTTAGATGAGCTTCAGTTAACTCGGCTTCGCCTCTGCTCCTCCTCCTCCTCCTGCAGTATTTACTGTCATAATTTATATGCATTTATGAGCCACGCTTGGACAGAGACAGTTTTTATGGCAATTTTATTTCCTGCAGCCAAATAAAGCAACTCCCCATCCATATGTGTGGTGAGGCCACATTCAAAACTTCAACTTCATTATCGCGTTATCGCTATCCATTTGCTTTCACCTCTCCCCCCTCCTGGGTTGCTGCCGTTGCCGCTGCATTATCGTGATTGCTGTAGTAAATGTTTTTTATTTATTATTATTTACAAATGCATTAAACACAATATTTAATTGCATCATAAAAAAGCGGCAGTCTGTCTGGCCCAATATAAAACCCCAAGCCCCAGTCTATATCTTTCACCCGATCCCTTTTTCCCAATGGCAATTGAACTTCACTGTAAACAGTGGTCGCCCGCTAATTTAAAGATATTGGTTAGAAGGTACTTAAAGCCTTAATTTTAGAATAACTTAATAGCTTTAATGATTTTTTATATTTTGAAAACAGGATATATTACACGGTGAATCATTAAAAACCAATCCAAGAGGACTAATATTCCAAAAACACGCAAAATTTCTAACGCTGAATTCGAACTTGGGAATTACAAGGGTAGCTTTTGTAAAATCTTATGCGTTATGCAAAAATATTGCAAAATTGTTCTTAAAAAGTTATTTAAGAAAAGTAAAAACAAACTTAAAGTTTTGGCAATATTTTTGCCAACATAAGGACTAAAGTGTTGTTCTTTATAAAAAATTATGTTTTTTGAGTAACCACTGTACCTGGTTCAAGGTGCTCAGCTTGTGTGTGCTCGGTGTCTGTTTGTATTTTGTCTCTCTGTTTGTTTGCATAGTGCAATGCTTATCGCAAATGCTTTTCCTATATGCGTGTGATATTTTTATGAGTTCTTTTGACCCGCACCCTTTGGTTTTTCCCCTCTATATTTTCCAGTTTCGATTTCGGCTGCCTGTCCCCATTGTTGTTGTTACTCGATGTTGCTGCTGCTGTTGCCGCTGCTGTCGATGTTTGCTGTTCACAGTTTTTCGTTATTATTTACACAATTGACCCTTTCACACCCGAATACTCATTGAACTTCATCAGCTACATCTACTGCGGGAGCAGGAGCAGTGCTGCAGTTGGAGATATTGCTCACGTACAACTCCCCGCCCCCCGCCTCCGCTCCCACTCTTAATCCCTGGCAGTTGGAGTTCAAGTCTTGGGCTCAACTGTAAATAGTCATAAATGTTTTGTTTATGTTTACAATTTAGCTGCTGCTCTTGCTCCTGCCGATGTTGCTGTTGCAGTTGAAGCAGTTGTTGCAGTTACTGCAGTTGCTCTTGCTGTTGCCGTGTTCCTGGCGCAGTTCGTGACTTCTCTAATGTTGTTGACGTGGTTGTTGCAACATGCTTCCCCATTGCTCTCGCCGCGGCCTAAAGATTTCTGAATTGGTAATGGAGCATGTGCAGTTCAGTGAGGTGAGCTGCATTTTATTGCTATCTAAATCGCTGACTCTTGGCCATGTATGTGGGGCCAGCAACAGCAACAACAACAACAACCTGGTCAGAGCTGTCTCCGATTTTTATTTGCTTTTAATTTGACTTGAAACGGGGCTTAAATGTCAAGAGTTGTTCGGCCCGTAATCCACATAAGCACATAAGCACACGGACGACTTGACTCTGCGCTTTTGTTATTAATGTATTCAATTAAGTAACGGCACAACAATTAAACTCATTATGCATATGGCGGGGAAATGCAATGCAAATAGCCCGAAGCCCCACTAAACACTATTATTATGGCCGGCGAAAATAACTGTCCCTGCCAACTAAAACAAAAACTCCAATCGGGGCACATTAAAAGCATCATTAAATAAATTATAGTCCAGCGCCCAAAGCAATAATGACATAAAAAAAACCAATAAATCTAACATGAATTTTGTTGTGTAAACAAGGCTTAATTCATTTGTTGCTTTTATGCAGTATTTAAATGGTTGTAAATGCCGAAAAAAAAGGAGGAGAACAGTTAAGCCTAATGGAAGTCATAAATAATAAACAAATTTAGAGGTTAAACTAGTGAAGCTCTGAGCTAAATGGTAAATTTTAGAAGAGCTTAGCATAGTCAACAATGGATACTACAAAATGTGAAATTATATAGAGAAATCAACACAGAATATATAAAAAAAAAGTAATATTTGTGAAGTTCTAGTTTCATTTGTACATTTCTAAATATTTTTCTTCCATCTGCTGCTCTCACACCTGCACTTGACATTTAATTATCAATTAGCTAGGCCACATCCTCCATATAAGCTTATAAATATTTTAATTAATTTACATTGTCATGCATTTTTCGGGCATTCTTTGGCCAGGTGTCAGTCAGTCACTCAGTCGGGTTCAGTCACTGACAGACAGACAGCGGCATATATAATTTATGCAAACTATTCCCATTTGAAAGGCCCGGCGAGAGAAGCGTGAATTTATTTATAATTTATATGGCAATTAAAAACTAATATTGCCAACTCCCACGCAGCCAAGGCTGCTGCTGCAATATTCAATTGCAAATTTATGCAAATTTTTAATTTCAGTTGACAACGACAAAATTCCCGAAGAGTGGGGAGCTTTGACAAATGTTTTGTTTGTAGTTTTCGGATTTTGGGGTTTTTATTGCATTTTTGATGACAACTCGATGGGCATAAATTAAATAATTAAGTTAATTGTACACATGGGCAATGTGATTTTAATTATTTAATTCGAAACTCTGCATAACTTATGCTAAATTGTATTTTATTCTGTTTTCAATATCCGACGCGGTTAAAAATTGCTTTGCTTTGCCTGTGCTTTGCTCTGCTCGCCACGTTTGACTCATCAGGTCCGATGATTAATGACATTTAAAATGCTGCTCATGATTTAGATAAGCCAAACTGAACGATTTAGTCTGGTTCTCTATCTCCCCTTTGCTTCTATTTTTGTTTGCATAATTAATGTCGCTCGCATTTGTTACAAGTTTTGGTTATTTGTCTTGCTGCTCGGATTAATTTTGCCCCTCCATCTAATTTTGTCCGATTGGCTGGAGCAGAGTCGAGCCGAAAGGGGCTTAAAGTCTTCTCCAGCCTGTCGGTGGGCTTAACAACTTTTTGACTGCCATTCGATGAAGTTTGAGGCATGATAATGACATTGAGCTTCAGCGGGATTATCAATAAAAACTGAGTTGTAGAATTACATTTACAAAGTGTTTAAATATTTCATTTAACTAGGAATTGCTGACAACATTTTTTAATAATTTCTCACTACGTAAAAAAACGTTAATTTTGGATTTCTATTTCATTGATTAAGAGGTGTGAAAACGAAATCATTCAAGTGTAGCAGTCATAAAAATACATATGTTAGGGTTGTGCCATAAATGTTGTTTTATATTGCCCAACGTGGGTGCGACTTCTATGGTCTTCTTCACGGAGTGTGAAGCTACTCGGAGAGCTCCTAATTAATATAAACAGTTTGTGAGCTAACACCAAACGCACACCGCTAGAAGCAGAAGGGGTGTTTGGCATTTCCTGTAATTTGTCGAGCGCGGAAATTGCTAGCTTCAGTTTTTTTTTTTTATTTTTTCGGGGCCTTGTTGCATATTAATTTAAATATAATTATGATAATTTTTATTGTCAAGAGGTGAGGCGCGGTGAAGTGAAGTGAAGTGAAGTGAAGCCTCTTGCCACATGCTTCGCCTTGACTTTCCAGAGTGCCCTGGGCAAACAACCAACCCTTTTCCACCATCAGAAAGGATTAGTTATTGAGTTATTTTCACAACTAAAGTAACGACAGCCAGCAGGCAGCAGGGCGAACGAACCCAGGACCGAACAACTGGCGCGGTTCAACAACATCTTGTGACTGACATTTGTGCGTCAAATTAAGTGAACTCTTTTTTTTCCAAGAGGAGGATCCGCCGGAGACAGAGCAGGAGGGCAGGAGGAGGAGGAGCACATGGTCAAGTCGAGCTTCCTGCCAGCCTGCCAGCCTCGATCCCTGAGTGACTGTGACTGTTGTTGTCTTCGGCCTGTCCCCTGCATTGCGTAAACTATAATTAATAACAAAACATGTTATGGTTATGGCTGCCGCTGCCGCTTCTGCTTCTTTGTGTGCCTGAAAATTGTTTCTTGTGCCCCGAGCCCAAGGCATGAGGCCACAATTCACCCAGACAGGCACAAAAGCGGTTCTTCTCTCGGTTCTCGGTTGTGGGCCCTGGTTTCTTCGGGTTTTTTTAAAACTCAGACCCAGACCGAGACCGGCAAACTGGGAACTGGAACTGGCAAGATCCGAGAGCATTTTCGGGCTGCACAACATATGTTATGCATTTTTTAGTTGTCTTCGGCATTCAAAAAATTATGTAGCATTTAATTAGCGCATAATTGCAGCAGCAGAGGCAGCATCCAGGGCACAGGGCTCATCAATTTCAATCGTTGGCGTGTTGAAAAATCTTCATTTTCATAATCCGCTCGGGATTATTATTTTGAGAATAAGAATACTCTAACTTAAACTGCAACCTATTTTAAATAACATAAAAAAAAAATTCTATGATTATATACTTACATAAAAATTGTCCGTTAGCAAAATAATATTGATTTGAAATTTTAGTGTTTGACCTCAAATCTAGAAGAAGAAAACAAATAAAAAATATTTTTTATATACATTTTGAAGTGACAAATCTTAGTATTTGTTCTTAAAAATATATCTTATAGCTGAAATTGTCTTAAATAAGATAAGAGGATTTTAAATTCAACCGTTTCCCAAAAAGTCCATTGCAAAAGAGAAATTCGACATGTTCAAAAGACAAACTTTTGGTCATAATTATTTATCCCCTCTTGCAAAAGGGCATACACAAAAAATATAATAATAATCCGAAGCCCTTTTACCAAATCCGTTTGCTACTTTACAAGAGCGCAGGCTCACCCTCAACCAGCCGCAAAAAAACAAAAAAAAAACGAAAAAAAAAAGACTGTCGCTTGTCAAAATGTCTGCAATTCCGTGAATTCAACTCATTCTGCTGTCGCCTTCTATGTGTGCGTCATTGTCTAAGGATGCAATTGCCGAGGACGACGACGCACAAGTTCAAAAGCAGTCAACAGTTCCGCTCGTTCCTGTTTGAAACTCTGGCTTCGTCATCCTCTGCCACATCGTCATCATTACAACAACAACATCATCATCATCATCATCATCATCGTCCTTATCCTTGGCGAATTTCATGCCTTGTCGTTGCAGTAGTTCCTTGTGGCTTGGCAAATACTCAACAAACCATGAAAGTAAATAAATGTTTTGCAACGTTGCAGAAATAAAATGCAATTTAAGTCACACAAAAATGGCTAACAACAGTACACAGCAAGAAATGTTGATATCATTTGTGATCAGTTTTAAGAAGGATACTATTTTATTCATTTACATAATTCGAAACTCGACAATATGCTAAGATCAATCTACTCTTATTAGAACCTATTTAAAAAACCAAGAATCTAGACTTGAGTGTTATGTAGCATTCACTTCTTTCTTGCAAAAAAAAAAAAGATTTGATTAATAAATATTATTAAACTAATCTTAACATCATATTTAATTTGATCCTCTTTTTTCTGTGCTTCAACTTAACTACGTATCTGGAACGTTGCAGTTCGTGGAGGAGCCTGGAAAACTCGAGGTCCTGGGCTGCATTCGCTCCTTCCTCTCCCATTTTGATTTGTTTATTTCGTTTCGCTCGGCTCTTATTTTGTATTATTCCTGCTGCTGGTGCTGCTCCTTTTGCTGTGGCAGTTAAAGTAACCGGCAAAAGCGTTCCGGGGGCTTCGAACTTTTGCATTTTATTTGTGTTTTTCTTTTCTTTCATTTCGTGTTTTTGTTTCTATTTTTATTCGTTTTGGCACAAAGAAAAGTGAAATGTTTTTGGGCGGTTGGGCATTTGCTTTGGATTTTAGAAGTTCGCTGGGGAGCTCGGTGGAAGCATCGTTGCAATTGCATTTCCACAGACATTTAATAGCAACAAACAAACAAAAACACAAAAAAATGGAAAACGCTTTAAAATAATTACATGCGAGAATTTTCCCCCCAGGAACAAACAATGAGAGGAGTAATCGGACAAAGTCGAGAATGAATCACCACCAACTGGCATCATTCACAGTCAAAAAATAAAAAAAGAAGAATTCGGGCATCATTCAAAGTCAAAGAACTGGGCATTTGTTCGGCCAGAGATCACAAAGGGTAGACAGAGCGCCGAAACGAATTAATGGATCAACGATCTTATCAGGTGAACAGAGCGAAACCAATTGAGCAGAGTGGAGAGTGGTCTTTTTGGCCTTTTGAACTAAGCCTCTTAAAATTGACTCTAGGTAACTGGAGTCTATCTAGATTACACATGTGCAGGAAATCTTTAAATACTTTACTCGATCAGGTAAGTTAGGATTTTTTCTATAGTTTTTTAGTAACATAGTTAGAAGCACTGGAATTTCCTATAGTAATTGCAATTCCTATATTAATTGCAATGTGCAAATATGAGTCCCGCAAATGCACTTCATTTCCGCACAAGTATTTCCCTCTTCAATCAGCCATATCCATTACACATCCGCCCCAAGCTGTGAATGATTTAAGTGATTCGGTGCGCCTATTGTATTATTTTCAGCCCCACAACCTCCCTCATCTCCCTGCCTGTCTACTGCCACCTACCACTGAAATGCAGAAGAACTGCAATAAAACAAAATAAAAACAAAAACAAAAAAACAAGAACCAAAACAAAAACTGATGAAAAAACAACACACAAACATGAAGGAAAAGTGCAGTGCAGCAGCAGCGAATGCCAGACGAAACGGAACAATAATTAAAGCAATGGCAAAAGCAAAAACAACTCTGAAACACACAAAACAAACAAAACAAAAATACTGAAAAACAACAACAATAATAACAAGTACAACAACAGGAAGAAGAGGTACAAGAGCAGCCCAGGAAGAAGCAAAAATGCAGCGCAAAGCTTCGCTCAGCAGCTCTCTCTTTTTTGAGTAAGAAGATACGGGTCGGGCTCTCTGCCTTTCTCCTGGATATAGGCAGGATATATACATGCATAAATAGGGAGGGCATTCCTAAAAGGGGTTGCAAGATGCAGCCCAAGGTCTGTCCTCTATAATGCGATGCGTCGTCGTCCTTGTATCTCTCAGAAGTAAAGGGTATATTGTCTTTAAGATGGCTATTCAAAAGCAGACAGAAAACTTAAAAACTAACTAATAACATCATAAGAAATATGGATACCTGATTTTTAAATAGCTTATTTAACATTTAAATTAGCTAGAATAAGTAGATAAATACATTTATTTTTTACCATATTTTTGAAAAAATATTTTAATCAAAAAAGCTAAGAAAAAAGTAGATTTTACCAGGTATCCCTAAGCTGAACGCCTCTACATTATCTAACATCCTCGACTTTGTTGTTCGGTTGTCATTGATGCCCCCCGCTCGCTCCTGTTGTTCTGCTTTCCTTATATTTTTTTTTTTCCTGATGATCCACCAAGCGGGCCAACGCCAAAGCAAAAATCAGTGCAAAAGGCGACGTCGCCGGGTGTCGTTTGCAGACAACTTGAAAAACATGAAAACGCGAGGGGCTCCCACTGGCTCCCTCCTATATAGAGTGCCCCCTACCCCAGTTCCAGCCACTCCCCCTTTTCCTTCTATTGACAGTCACGTCAGTTAAACTGCTAGGAACACACACGCAGCAGGGAAGAAGATACAATGGCGTTCGGTATAAAAGTTCTTGAGAGTTTTGCCACTATTTTTAAATAATAAATTTAAAGGATATATGACAGCTTATATAATAAGATAAAAAATCTTTTTGCAGTGACTTGTCAAGTAAATAAGATCCCAAGTCCCAATATTATTGCTATTTTCTTGACCTTATCTGTTGATAGGAAGACACCCAGAGATTTCCCAGACAAGCAGGTGGCAAAGGCTTCGGGCCAACAGAGAATCATGAGGCCAACATCATGAGCCAGCTTCGGTAATTGCTGTCCGGGCCAAATGCAAATGCTGTTGCTTGCGTGTCTAGATTCCCGACTTGGATGCTGCTATGCTGCTGCATATAACATGGTGCCGGCTGGCTGTCCTCGTCCCTGTTGGCCTCGAATTATGTTGTTCTTCCCGGGAATTGGTTTGGCCTTCTGACAGTCTCTTCCTCCCAGATCGCCTCAACAGTACTCACTACGCCACCCTCTAGCTGGGATATGATTTCAATTAGAGTTCTTCCTAAGTGATTGTGGCACTCAAAGGGGATTAATTCTGCACAGTTTTTAGTTAATAGAGTTGAAAGGTGTTCTGGTATACTTAAAAATTTAACATTTTACGTAAGGGTTAATAATATTATAAATAAATACAATAAATAATATTATAACAATACAATAAAAACAGTTACACCTTTGAAAAAAAAAATATTTAAACATTTACAATAAATATATAGAATGCAATACTCCAATTTGAATGGATCTTTGGTAAACATTATCCCCGGAACCCTATATATACTGCTCATCCTGTTGGGCGAATGGCGAAATATGGCCTTAAACAAATTTATTTATAACACAAATTAAATAACTCAGAGCAATGGACTTGACTCCGGCTGCCACTAAATTTGCTGGGCAAATGCAATTTGCAGATTTACTAACCCCCAGCAGCAGAATGAGCGGGAGCAGAAGAAGAAAACAGAGCCGGACTTGCAGTTGGAGAAAATTGCAATTGCAATTACCAAAGCGGAGAAAGAGAGGAGCAGCTAGAGAGGTGGGAACAGGAGGAGCAGCTCCACGCCACGAGTAAAACAACTAAACCACGCCGAGCGACGACAGTTTGACTTGCAATTTTAGCTGCACCAGCAGACCCCAGCAGCGAAATCAGCGAAACCGTGGCCGCCGCATCATCCCCATCATCATCATCAAAGGAATCATCATTAACAGCATCATCATTAACAAGGAAGTGGGGTAAAGGAAAGCTTTTTCGACTATACAATACTGTTAATTTTTTTTTATTTTACTAATTTTATGCTTGCTTAAAATGTAAATAGACTTTTCTTTGGGTTAAAAAATCCTCCTTATTTTAAAAGAAATTTAAAAATATTTATATATTTCATTAATAAATTCAATTCCTCTTCCAATTTTTACATTTCGATGGCCAAATGCCACATACCCTTGCCATCCTCTAGGACAAAGTACAAAAACCGCGCGCGCCTCGACCATATCCATTACAGGCCAAATAAGAGCAGGCACAGGGAATGAAGGATGAAGGAGTCTGGGGGATCGGAAGCTGGAGCAGGCGGAGGATGGGAATGAGAACGAGAATGAGAATGACGCGATGTGGAGCAGAGGGCCGAGGACAGCGAGTAGTTGTTGGCCCTGCGGCGGCTCGGCCTGGCCAAGTTTGCGAGAAAATCGATTTGAGCCTGCCTGCCTGTGCCTGCCTGCACTCGCACGGGCGGCCTTTTGGATGCGAGTGTCCAGGTTTCAGTCCCAAGTCCAGGTCCAGTACGAGTCCGAGGCTCAGTCACAGTCCCATTCGCAGTACCCGGTCCTCAGTCCCATTGCCGTTCCCATTCCCACTTGGGGAGTTTTACTCCTGTTCGTTCACAGAGAAAAATAATCCAGACTTATAAAAGACTAGACAAGAGTGTTTTTAAAACAAAAAATTAAAATTCAAAAGCTTAGTTTAAAATACTTTCTTTATTCATTATTCAATAAAGCTAGTTTTCCTATTTTTGACCTTTACTTTGTTTCAGGGTATCAAGTAAACAGAATAAAGAATTCTACTTTACCAAATTATATTTTATTTCCTAAATGATTAATAAAACATGCAAATATTTTCCTTATCTTTATTTATAAGAGCAATTTTTCTGCAGTGTCCGTCTGTTTGTTTGTTTGTCGCTTTTAATGCTGAACGTAGCTGGCGGAGGCGACTCTTGACTGATTTTTATGCTTTTGGCCCAATTGCCCCGCAGTTGCCGCCGCGCTGGGCTCTGAGAGCGGCCTCCAATGGCCATCGACCGGTTCTCTCCCTTTGGCCGGGCTTACGCCTACCGATCCACTGCGCCCCGCCACCCCCTGCAGGCCACCCATTAGCGGCCCTTTGTTTGACTTGCAGTTGCAATATAAGGTCATTCCTCTGCTCTTGTTCTTGCCGGTGATTTTTTTCTTTTTTCCTTTTTTGTTGCTGTTGCAGTTGCACGCTTTTCGTTTCGTTTGATGGCTGCGCACGCGGCCTTTTGTTAGTTTTCCCCATCCAATTTCCTTTTTTCTTCCATTATTATTATGCTTCTTTCGTATACTCTTTAGGGGAGTGAAATCGGCGAAATCGCAGCCTAATCACTTCATTAGGCGGTATCTCCCCACCCCTTTTGGCCATGTTAACACGTTGTTCCGCTGCAGCAAGTTGCACGAATCTTTTGGGGTAAAGTGCGAGGAAAAAAATGGCTTTAATTGAAAACTGTGGAAAGAGTAAACGCTGCAGCGACTTTTGCTTTTCATAGGGAACTTGAAAGGTAATTTCTACACTTTTTTAATATTTTATACCTATACTTAATTTCTAATTGATATACTGTTTAAAATTGTTTAAATAATTGTAATGGTAAAGATAATATGCTTCTTTTTATCTTAAGAACATTTTTTAAAAATCTTCTCATTTATTAATTTCATTGTCAAATAACTAAGTACTGAAATACCTTATTAAATCGTTTGCATCTTTCAGCCATTTCAAATTAGCTTTAATAGCCTGCAGCCTGTAAAAAGTAAACTCCTGTGTGAAACTCAAAACTTTAAGCTTCTAATTTGCGGGCCCGCATTGTATTTGCCTAAAGTTTTCTCACAATTGTGCGGCGAACGGCAGCAGCAACGGCAACAGCAACAGCATCAGGTGCTGAGGAGGCTTCGCTCGCTTATCGCATAATTGGTAGCAATGTTGGCTGCCACTTTTTGCGCCGCGGCTTCTGTGGCCCGGACCCTGGACTTCTTCGTCTCCGTCGCATTCCGGAGATGCCGGCAAAACACTTGTCAGCGACTTAAATGGCGCGCAGCTGTGCGGCATTAGCTGGGGAGCTCTGAGCAGCTAAGGAACTGAGGAGGCACTGTGAAACCAGGGAGCTGTATAAGCCAGGTGAGGCGAGGGGCTGACCAGGCGGTGGACACACCTCTTAAGGAGGTGTTGCAACCGCTGCTCCGCTCCAGAGGGCAGAATGGGGGAGTGGGGGAACCGGGGTTCAAGGCGGTCCAGTGGCGACATTTGATGTGATTATTGAGTTATGCCCACGGGGGCAGGTGCCTGGCATATTTCGCTTAATTTTCTGATGAAGTTATTCACCGAGATATGGAACGCAGCGAAAATGTACAAGTATTATAAGCAGAGAGATAAGCGGGCGAACAAGAACGCGAAAGAGGCCGAGCAAAAAGGTGTGTTCCGCAGATTTATAAATAATCGCTTTGGCATCTAAAAGTAAGCAATTAAATTGTTTATTTTGACACTTTCACGACAGGTGCTTTAAAACTTCTTATTCGTAATACACATGGGTCTCTCTATTATTATAAATAAAAAATTCTATAAATTCATTTTTTTGTAGGTTGTTTAAGAATATGTAGGTTTTTTATTCCTTTTCAGAATTTTATAATATTAATCTTAACTAAATGGTGTTTATTTAAGAGTATGTAAGCGTTACTTAAATAATTATATTTACTTTGAAATATAAAAAAAAATAAGAAGTATTTGTTTATCGCATTTATTTGTTTGTTTTAGATTGCCTAATAATTGATCTAAAGGCAAAATTCAACTGCCACAAATCTAAATATTTTTTTTAATTCATTAGAATTTCGGAATTTCTACTTTATTTTTATATTTTTTAACGACAAACTTGCCCGGCTAAAATAATTTTGACTAAAAAAATTCAAATAAATAAATTTTCACATTTTTTATTTGAAATTTTAATTTATTGTTAGTTATTTAATCATTTTTTGCGTTATTAAAATGAATAGTCCTGGTACTGCAGAAACATCACACTTCTAAAATTTTTTTATTCACAATTCCTCGTGTTAATTGTTGAAATCTTAGCATAAATGACAATTTCAAGAAGGATATTTAAATTTAAAGAATTTCCTTTCTAACGCAGGATAATAATGATAATATTTATTAGGAAACGGCAGAAGGAAGCGTTGCATAAATAATTAACATTTGTCAGGAAATCCGTGGGCAGAGGAACAATAAAAAGCGGGCAAGGAGTCAGATTAGAAGAGGAATCGAAAACAGCAGGCACTACAAAATCACCGACAACAACTACAGCAACAATGGCAGATGGAGAAGCAGGAAAAAAGAATAACAACTACAACCCCAGAGGATAGGACGAGAATGGGAAAGGAATAAAAACATAAAAAAGCGGCACAGATTGCCAGAACAACAACTAAACACGGACACACACACACACACACAGATACAGAGACACACAAACGTATAAAATTTGAGCTCTCCAGCTGTGTTGTTCTTGTTGCCGTCGGTTTCTTTCTCGTTCCTTTTGCCCTGCAATCAATAAAACGGATTAGGAATATCCTTTAAATGCGGCGCTTGGTGGAGGCTGCAGCACACACACTCTCACACACTCACGCACACTGCAAATCTTTTAGAATAACACATACTACTTTATCCATAGAAGGAATAAAAGTAGCGGCACTTACTTTTCGTTTTTCGTAGAGCAAATTAGGAGTTGGTGGGAGACGGAGGCTGGTGAACACAAGGAGGAGACGAAAACAAAACCGAAAAACGCACACTCAGGCACGCACACACACACACGCCACGTAGGGCGAAGATTTACCGTTGGGTTACGCGACGCGATGCTCAAAAAGTACGAACAAGAGACAAGGAGCAGGGCCCGAGAGCCGGTCTCCTTTGGGTTTCTATTTATTTATCCAAATTCTTTTTGTCACTTGCACTTGCCAAACTTTGACCCAAACGACCTTGCATATGAGTGTATTTTTTGTTTTATTCGCGAGGCTTAAGTAACCTTTTTAATGTTTCTTTATTGGAGGAACACACACGACGATTAAAATGAACAAATTGCTGCGCCGCTCCTTCTTCGTTTTACCAGCTTCTCCGTTGCGTTATCACGATTCCTTGTACTCGCCTTTAGTGGTTAATGGTAATGGTTATTTTCCTGCTTGTTTGCCAGTTAAATTGCACGTTTTGCCACCGTTTCAATCACAACACTTGCTCTTGTTTTTCCTTTATATTTTGATTTACTCTCGAGTTTATGTTTTGCCGCCGATCCTTTAATTTCCAAAAAAAGAAGAGTTTCTACCGGCGTTTTTCTTGTCCAGTTGGTCCACAACAACTCTGGATTTTTCTTTGGGGAGACCCGGTGTTTAGTTCCCAGTTACGACTTTTCCGTTTTCCGCGGCGGAGCGGTGCGATGTGACGTCATGGACCGCCGAAAAGAAAATTTTGAACTGAACATGGAGAGTATCTTTATATATCCCACAACCTGGTCATGAGAGTATGGAACAAAATGAGAGGTTTTTGCTAAGAGAATTTGAACATGAGAGAGTATCTTTGTCGAACATGTATGAGCGTGCTGGTTGCAGGGCTGCAAAAATACAATAATAAATGGTCGCGTTAATACCGTTACAAATTCAAAATATATGAAATATTTACCGCCTTGTTGATTACAATTTTTTAAAATTGAACTGAAGTAATCCTATCACTAAAGGCAACACAGGCTGGCCATTGAACATCATAAACGAAGACGTAACGTTAAAGCAGGGCTGCAAAGATACAATATGAAATGGTTTTGTTATACGGTTACAAATTCAAAATATATGAAACTTACCTGTTTCAAAACTGTTTCGGGTGACACCACTCACCCTCATCAGCGATCTTTCATTTTCAGTTATAAGTATAAATACACGAAGTGATCTCAAATTGCAAACAATTAATTGACAACTTAATAATTGCAATGTTTATGTTTTTGTTGTTTTAAGTTGAAATATTAAATTTTTGTTTCTTATATAAATAGCTATCACTTATCCTAAACATAATATAAACGAAAAATTAAACATTTTCTTGTTTTTGTTAATAAATTTTTTTGCAAAGAAATTCTTGTCAAACTGTACTGTACTTGCATACGCATAAGAAACTTGGCATTAAAAGAAAACCAAAAACACAACAACACGAAGCAGACAACAAGAAATTAGCTAAAAATCACAAACTTGGTTTAAATATTTAATATATGTAGTTGTAAATATATACCGCAAATACACACACAAAATTTATTTTGGCCACGAAAGTTGCCCTTGAACTTGAATACATATGTATGTATATATGTATGTTTATGATCATTTTCGTCTTGTCCTTGAACATTTTGCTTCACACACGCATTCGCACTACGAAAGTTGCCATTTTGAACTTGAACATACATACATACATACATATGTATAAGAAAATTGTCTTGCTTCGCACACAGATTGTCCTTGAACATTTTTCTTGCACAATTGCATTAAACTTAAACAATAGAAATTGCACAAACACTTTTAACTAAAAACTAATAAAAATGTCGCTCATTTTGGGTTTTCGGTTTTCTTTTAAAGCCAAGTTTCACATTCATATTCTCTTGTACATATATACATATGTACTTATTCACAATTTAATAAAGGCGAAACACTCACATCTCCATTTTTCAATTTATTCACTTGTAATTGGTAACAATTACTTTTAAACAGTTTAAACAATTTGGTTTTTTCAACAGCGTCTTTAGAACTGGCTGGAAGCTAGAGCTGGGAAACTATCGATGGTACTATCGAGGTATCGACTTTTTCCTTTTTTTGAGCCACCATCGATAGTTTTTTATCACTATCGATAGTACGGGACTATTTTTATATCTCTGCTTTGTTGCTAAAATTTAGTAAGAAAAATGCAAACAAATATATATATATATATATATTTTTTTTTTTATAATAAAAATGTATTCTAAATTAACTTAAATTGGAGTTGGCGGTGAAAAATATTAACTGAATTTCAAAAGAAAGGGTGCGTCTACGCCACGTCTTCAGAGTCTAAGCGTATGTTTAGCAATGGTAATACAATTTTATTTGTGCAAAGTTGCTTGGATAGAATATTTATGTTAATTACTTAGTCAAAACATATGGCATAATTTTTAAACTCTTGAATAGTATTATAATTCTATTTGAAATTGCTATAACTTTAATTTGCAAAAAGAATCGTAAAAAAACGATACTATCGATAGTATCGAATTTTCGTTTTCAAATCATCGAAAATATCGAATGGTGCCACTATCGATAGTTTCCCAGCTCTACTGGAAGCAAGGCTTCGATATTAAATGGGCAGTAATCGGCTAATCGAATAGCTGTTGTATTTGAATAATACGATTAATCGATTACAGACTAAACATCGCTTTGTTGTAACAATAAGAAATTTGAATTGTATTGTTTTGGTTTAAATGGGAATCAATTTTATTTATTTATAAATGAATATAAAATACTCGTAATTAAAATATTTTCTCGCTCACACAAACTTTTCTCGTCCCGCATTCAATTAATCGAAAGCTATATGTACGATACATATCGACGGCACCCATTATGTTTTTTATGTACATATGTATGGCCAAAAACACACTTATACGAATATACATATACATATATACATACACATTGCATCATGTCTCTGCATGTTTCACGGCCTTTTTCTGAACAAAACCAAATTGCATGTGCTTTGTTTTTTGATTATCCCCCACCAAATAATAACAATTTTAAAATGTTTATTTTTTTGTTTCCATTTTATTGGTTGCGCCATTGTTTATTGTTTATTTATTGGCTCCGATTGCGGTAGCAAATCCTTTCAGATTGCCTCTTATAGCCCGGAAGAACCTGTCCTCCAGGCATCCGATCCCGATCGTCGCGTTCATTATGGTAAGGACCCGCTCCATTTCCGAGTCCGACTTAACGATGCGAATTAACTCGTTACGGAAGACTCTAGAGTTAATAGTTTCGTCCTTCTCTGCCGCCTCCACCTCCATGTCGACCAATAGGAACAAACGGCGACGTGCCACTGCCCTGTGGTTTTTTTTCTTGATCGTCTTGCGGCCGGAGGCTGCCGCTAGCGCTAATCCGGCAGCTACTCCGGCTGCATACGCATTACTTATTTCTTTAGGCTGAAATGCATAAATATATATAAATATGTATACAAAATTGTTCCAGAAAAACCTTACCATTACCATTTTTTTCGTCTTCAGCTTTTCGAATGGCGTCGATTGGCGTCGGTGGCGTCGATTGGCGTCGAGCTAAGATTAGCCTTATCGATCAGGCTATCGATAATGGCCAATATCGATTGAAATGATCACGAAAGTTACAAATTATTAAAATAATTACAAAATATTCATAATTATTTAACCCTTATAAAATTAAATATAAAATTCATTGTTATACATTTATTATCAATTCATATAGTCAAATTTCAAACAAGTAACCATTTTAGAATCAACATCGATAGCCATATTATTGCAACAAACTTTTTAAAAATCAAAATTGTTTATTTGTTTGGATAGTATTGTTCTAATCTAATTATTATATATTTACAATATTTCTATATAATAACAGCTGTCTTAAAAGTGATCGCCAAAAAAGGAATATACAAAATATTCAAATTAATTACTCTCATTAATTATTGTATATTTTATTTTTATTGCTCGTAACGCATTTAAATTTCTCTTCTGATTTATATAGTTAAAATAAATAAATATTTCTGTCGTGATCAAAACAGTGTGAACATCTATATTTTATTATCGATATGTGCCATGAAAAAAGTGAAGCCCCGCAAAAGCAAATAATTAATTTTTATATGTTAATTAGCCAGAGGTTGTGCCTTCACATATTTTATAGGTAATTATTACGCAAAATGTTTACCAATTGGCACATATTAAAAAGAACAACTTTAAATAATAATTAAAGCAATTTTTGTGGCAATTATTTGAAGCTTTCTTAAGTGTTTCACCTCTTTATTTCGGGAAAATAGGCAACGAAATACTATTTAATTTAATTTAAAAAAAAAAAACTTTAATTTTCTTTAAATTCTTACATTTTTTATATATTTTTTAGTTTCTATTTATAGTTGGTATTTATTTAATTAATATTGTGGTCGAATTCCCATGTAGAATGTAAAATGTTCGAAAGAGAACTGTTTGTTAACATAGAAATGCTCTCGATCACAGAATAGCGTAAATTCGGCTGTTAACATAATGTTGCTTATGGAACATGGCGAGTGAGAGTAACAGCTGAACATTTGAGAGTAACTTTGTCGAACATGTTACATGTTGGATGCAACCATGAGACTCATACTCGCTCATCATTCTGGTATACTCTTTTTGGGCTCTTTTAAAATGCGCTCTCTTTCTGCGCAAGAATTTTATTTACATCATTTTTGCTTTGCGCAAAGATAAATTGATGTCCTTAAATGTTATGTTAATGTTAAGAAGCTGAAGTGAACAGTCCCAAATTTATGCTATATTTAACGACAATTCAATATATTAAGTTCTTCTTGCATTTTGAATTCCTAATTCCGATAACAGAGGTTTAAAAACAAAATTCAATTATTTATAATTAGAATAATTTCAAATATTCTTGTTTACCATTGTCTGTTAAAGACCGCTCCAAGCAAAGTCGGGAGTTATCTTTGCAGATTTAACACAATAATGAGCATAAAATATAATTATCATTAAAATTATCCTCTAGTAATAATTAATAAACATATTATAGAGTAAAGTATTATCAGAAATAGCAGAAATAAGATTTTTAATTTAAGCACTTTAGAATAAAGGTTATTTTAAAACTTTATGATTTGAATATTTACAAAATTTCCAAATGTCTTGCAAAATTCTAAAATTAATCCAAAATTATTTAAAATGTATGATAAAAAAAATATATATTTCTGAATTTTTTTTTAAAGTAATAACTGTTTTTATCGGCGGAAATTGTTAATAAGATATTTGAAAAATCATATCAAACCAAATTGTTAACAAATCGTTGATATCTGTTCTCTTTGTATCTCTTTCGGTGTTTTGAGCTCTCTTTCACATGCCGGGTGCGTGCGAGCGAGACAGATAGGCGGCATTTCGAGTTCGAAGTTTGAAAGAGGTTCGAACTTCAAACAGGGAGAGAGCGCGCGATAACAGCAGTGCTGTCTATTTAGCTAATTTCAGGCTAGATTTAGCATGTCTGACAGTGGAAAAGCTTATACAGAATAAGCAATTTAAAAATAGGTTATTTAAATATACAAGAATTTTCGAGCAATAATTATATTCATGACATCAACGATTTATTTTATAAGAAAACGGGCTAACAATATTAAAGCTTGTATTTTTAGTGCCGATGATTACTTGAATTGTATGATTAGAATATTAAGTTTGCCTCATTTTCTGATGATATGTTGCGAGCCCAATTGATAACTTTTGAAAATAAAATAATATAATAACATCATATACAATTCTATAAAATAGACATTTAAAATAGTTAAATGCAATAATTAGATTTAGATTCTTTTAGAAACCAAATTAATTAAATTAAAAACATTAAAAGTACAATTTTGTTGTACGTTTTCTTGCATTTTGAGCTTATACCTTCTAAGAATCTAGCTTGTTAAGGGCTCCCGGCAACACTGGCGTGAGTTAACAGTTGGGCTCGACATGTAGAATTTATGTAATGTGTTAAAGTAATGTAAAATTTATTTTAATGATTCAATTAAATATAAAAATTTTAAAGATGCGTATCCTTGCTAGTTCAAACTTTTAAAAATTATTGTACGACATAAGCCACTGTAATAATTATGTTTATGCAGCCTTTTCACTTACTCAGATTCAAAGATCTCACTCGCTTATATGCTCAAGCTACAGTGTTATGATTATGCTATATTATTACAAATTTTATAACCAACTTCAACTTCTGTCAATATCTCAAAGAAATTAAATATATTTAAACTGCACATATAGTAATAATGGCATATTATCGGTATATACTGTATTTTCAAATAGAAAGGGAAAACAGAGTTGAATGTCGATTAAACTGGGAATCGAATTCTTTTGTCATCGGTAAAGCACGTTTATATTTCGGGGAAACCCAAGTGAAAAATTCTTCTTCCAACCGAGCGACGAGTTTGATCAGAACAGAAACGACGTCAACCATGGACTTCAACGCGGAAGTTCAATGTCTACAGCGAGGAGTGGCCGTGCGGGATGAGTTACTCTGCGAGCTAGTGGAGATTCTCCGGAACAACGAGCCTGGCCTGAAGTGCGTGCTTCAAAGCATTTACAGCCTGCTACAGGACAACCTGCTCTGCAGCACCCAACTTGTGCACAAGGTAATCTCAGCTGTGATCTTTGACAGCCAGGAAGAGACATCCGATCGCCGCCGCCTGCTGGCCAGAGCCCTCGTCTGCGTCCAGCTGCAGGTGCGCAGAATCCCTGCCGACGACGGCGCGCTCATGTTGCACGACCTCCTGGTCTCGGCTTCGGTTGGTGTTCATCCATATGCGGGCCAGATTTTGGAACACCTGTTCAGTGACTTTGTCCGTGTGCTGGGAGCAGGCTGCTTCCTGCGTCTGCTGGACGCCACTCGAACCATTTTGCTGTCAAAGGAGCCACAGGATCGGAAGTCATCCTACTTTCTCATAAGCAAGATCCAAATAATGTGTGAAATCGGTGGAGAGCATAGCGAAGCCTTACTTAATTGTTTGCAGTGCAGTGCCCAGCAGTGGATCGCTTTTGCGGTCATCGTGGCAGACTTGGAAGAGCAGGATCCAAACCTGGTTGGGGGTACACTCGAGACACAGCTACCCCAGCTGCAGCTGATGTCCAGCGATTTCGGAGAGCGTTGGCTGGCATGGCTAAGAACCATTTGCATTAGACTCCTGCAGGAGGACAGAGTTCAGGTGCTGCGCAAAACCCTGGAATACTTTCTGAGCCACCTGAGTGTAGAGCACCTCTGCCGCTTAGGCCTGCTGCCGGAGTTCCTGATGGCCACCAACAGAAGCCAGTTGTTTGATCCCGAGGATGACAACTGCCTCAACGGAGAGCAAGTGAAGCATTTTGTGGCGAAGGGCAATGTGGAACTCCTCATGGAGGCACTGGTGGTAGTTTCTTGGGAGAACGTTCCTCTGCTCATCTGGATACTCAGTTTAAACTCTAAACAAGTGAAGAGTGTTCCTAAGGAGCTGGTTATTAAGTTGTGTCTTAATGTTAAGGCCATCGACAACAATGTTCTTCGAACCGGAGCTCAGGATCATGTCATCATGATATTCAAGGTACATTTTAATTACGTTAGTTTAAGGACAATGATATCACTTTTTAATTTCAGGACACAATCGACTGTTTCTCTTTGAGGGATTACATTGTCTGCGTGGAATCGTTTGTTAATAAGAAAAATGCATACGAGGAACACTGCCGATTACAAGATAAAATCGATAACTGCACAGATTTTGAGGAGCATATTGACTGCTTCAACCAGAGATCCTTTGACATATATATTTTTTTTTATTCTATTATTGGTCACATAATTGGTGATTTCCAATCGAGTTTATTATCAAAAATGGGAACTCTTCCCAAACATAAGCATGGCTTTTTGCGCTTCGTGTTTATTACTAAAAAGGAGGAATTATTCACCGAATTTTATCGAAAGTTTTACAACGTGGACACATCGTTGCTTCAAAGAGGAAGGAGTCTCGAGGAGATTCAAGTGCACTTGCTGGACAGACTGGACTGCCAAACTGACGAGGAGACATGTTTCCTGAAGGCACGATGCGTGGACCTCTTCACTTTGAACTTGGATTCATGGGGCCAGTTGGAGGAACTAAACTTGGACCCCCTGAAGCTGATAGAACAGGGAACATATGATTCCATTTTAGCTTTAGCACGTTTATTAGAATCACATCAGAAACGAGTTACGGACGAGACGATACTACCAGCTCTGATTTCCCGTCTTGAATTTAGTTCTCATATGTAAGCTATTACCTTTTAAACTGGTTTTATATATTTATTGAATTTTTCCTTAGTGATCATGTTGTACACTACGCATACAGGAATTTAACAGAAGAAGAATTTGAAAGCTTCATTACTAATCTCATTGTTCAGAAGAAATATGTTTGCTTACCACTGGGAAAACAAAGTATTTCCCTGTATTTAAAACTGCTGCTTCATGGAGAACCCACCACAGGAAAGGAACGGTGAGTTAGCTTAGATTTCTTATATTTTCTAAGCCAACTTGGTGACGATTTTAAACATTCTTTTAGCATTGAGGCCGCTTATGCATACAACATCTTGAATATAGTCGATTCATCTGCAGGAATTCGATCGCATACTATATGGCATTTACATAATTTTTCAAGTGATGAAATGAAATCTAAAGTGTTCAAAGAACTTCTTAGAATTAACGGAAAGCTGTCGATGGAGCATCCCCAGTACACTGAAAACTCCGCGGTGCACAGGCAAAAAATGCGAATTGCCTCTGCTTTGATTACACTTCGCGATTATTGCGATGATCCAATATCCTTGGAGACTTTGTTGTTGCCCAGCGATCAGCTTGGGATAAACATTATGCATGAGTTCCTGGTAGGATATTGTGTGGAAAACATCGATTGGGCGTTGGATGCATTACCAAATTTGGAGCCAAGGCAACAGGAATCATATCTCTCCATCGCTCATATTTTTATTTTTAAAAATTTGGAAAAACTTAACGGAGAGAACAAATTATCAGAAATGTTTTTGATCCTTGTACAGTTCACAATGGAATCCACTCGTTCCACGCGCATTCTCGCTGAATTGATCCTCTCTAATTTAGCTGTGGAGTGTGAAAAAGAAAGGTAACTGATGACACAATTCTAAAGACGATTTAATACTCTAATTATTTTGTTTAAAGCATTTGTATTCCCCTGATGGTCCTGATAGTCGCGGCGTTGGGGAAAAAGTTTCACGAGCTTCCTCGGCTTTTGCTCACAGAATTGATCAGGAAATATGATTCTTCATCCCATATTTTGTATATAACAAATGTGGCCTTCGATGAAATCGATGTTCATTTCGCTACATATATTGAATATAGAAAGATTCGTGATGCATTTTCTGAAAGAAAATTGGCATTATCCGCGGAAGTCGCACCTTCTCAAAACCGTTCCGAAGGACTCATACTCCCTCCCACGGAAGCTAACAATTCAGGCAAGGCCGCTGGTCAGAAACTTATTTTAGTGGCTTCTTTTCATGGTAGGGAAATCGATTTCCCAGCACTGAGGAGCACCTGCGAAAAGTTTGGATTTATTTCTCTGGTTGTAGCCGAGGAATCACATTTAAAGGAGACTAGTTCTGGCAATTTAAGGTAGGAAATCAAACAAACAAATTAATTGCAAATCCTTCTCTTACATTGATTATTTCAGCATCGTCAAAGTAAAGTCCGAAAACCTCGTGGAATTCATTCTGGCTAAGCAGGCCGAAGGTTATAAAACGGTTAGTTCTAAAGGATCTGCTGGCATACCCAAATTCGACCATTTCGAGTTTCCAAAGAAGTGTATACTGGTGTTGGGGTGAGTTCTAAGCAATAGTTCCAACAAGCACAATTATAAAGTATGTTTCTCAGGCATGAAAAGCAGGGAATACCTATTAAGGTGACGGCAGTGCTAGATTATGTCGTGGAGATTCCACAATTCGTCTCTCTGGATACAAATTTTGGAGCATCACTGCTTATTTGGGAGTTTTTCAAACAACATTGTGCCTAGGCTTACAGCTCTTTTTTACTATTAAACTGAAATACTAATTTTTTCAAATAATAATTACACTTACCTACTGTACAGAAGCAGATACAATTTTATGTTATTAATTACGCTTTTGAAAGTAATTATCTGAAGATTCTTTTCCTTATTAAAATCTAAGCTACATACAAAATAATACTGGTGGTCATTTATTACTTGCATAATATATGGGTGGAAATTTAAACTAATATTTGTAGTTATAATAGTTATAATATAGTTACTATTATAATTCGGAACTCCGCCAAATTAACGTTGATGAGTTGAAATCGAAAAGTGGAAAAAAGAAAACGAGGTTTTTTTATTTTTAAACTAAGCTGTAATACACTAATAAGTAAAATAATTATTGATCACACGGCGGTGATTGAGTGGACGTCGTCCTCGTTAATACGTTCCTGGCAACATTTGATTTCAGTTGTCAATATTGTTTACAGCCTTTCGCCTCTTTGAATTAAAGTATCGAAGGGCTCTAACCATATCCATGTTCCGGTGTAAACTAAAATATATTTTTTTAGTTAAAAATATTTACATTTATTTCGTTTTTTTTTGCGGTTTCAGAAACCAATTCAAAAATTAATTTTTACAATTTTTATGAGTTCAAGCTTTGAGCGTTTGGTTGAGAGTGGGTCGATTTCCGTATCCGGCGACACAGAGGGCAGCACAGAAGGCACCAAGGCGCCTGGGATCATCCATCCGCATCCTTGATCCTGGGATAGTCCACGACACCGGGGGAACCTCGAAAAATACAGCCACAAATTCGGAAGAAGCTAGTGATGACATGGGGGAATCACACGGCGGTGATCAAGTGGGCGTCGTCCTCATTAATGCGATCCGATTTGCCATTGACCTCGATCGTGTGATTCGACTCTGTGTCGCTCGGTTCATGTTCGGCATCCTCCTCCTCATCGTCATCATCGTTGTTGGAGCTTGAATTTTCACCATTTTCCTGCTCGGGCGATTCACGCTCTTCGTTTTCCTCGTAGATGACGTCACAGCTGGTGGCAATTGATTTGGGCGGTGGTTTCTTCACCGATTTCCCACCTCCCTTCCGGTCGCCATTTTGCTGCAACTCGGACATCTGGATTTGCATTTCCCGCAGGCGATCGGTGAGCACATAAAGATCCCGCTCCTGACTCTCGCAGCGGGTTCTGAGCTCAGAGATCTCACGGAGGTCCTCGGCTCGGGGATCCCGGCGCTCGTATCTCATGCGCATCTCCTCGAATCTACGGAGAAAGGGTTTAAAAATTTAATTGAAAATATAAGAATGGTTAAAGCAAAGGACAGTGGAAACTGACTTAGTGTACAACAGCCCACGACACGGAAAAGCCAATAGATAGTTAGGGGAAAATAGATTTAAAGAGGTTGTTCAAGTTCTAAATTCCGTTTTTCGGTAAGTAGAATTTTTTTAAATTTATACATTTTCTATTAATGTTTTAAATACAAAAAAATTATAATATAAAAAAGTACATACAAAACCATCAAAAATAAATTACTTTATAATTCTTAATTTTTAAAGAGATTTTAGGTTGTTCCAGAAATCACTATGAAATTAAGACCATTAAAAATGTAAAATGTTTACTGTATATATTTTTGGTAGAATATTGCACATTTTTAGGATTAAATGTGTCTACAAATATAAATAAAGTACTTCAAGCCTTATATTTTATTTAAAAGAAAATCCTTCCTTAAAAATTAAAGAAAATAAATTCATAATCACTGATTTTACTCCCCGAAAATATTAAGAATTAAGAACTTGGTTGGAAGGGAAAGGTGGGATAGGTTTATTGGGTGGCTCAGGTGGCTCAAATGGCCCACTTACAGGTTGGTCAGGCAGCGGCACTTGCGGTGCAGCTGCTCGATTTCGTTGGCATTGCTGATGTCGCGCTTGTCCAGCGCCGCCTTCTCGGCATCGTAGGCCGCCTTCAGGTCCTTGAGATTGCGCTGGTGCCGAAGTTCTACATCGCTGCGGATGCGGATGCAGGTTTGGGTTCAAAGTTGGATTCGAGGGTTTTTTTTTTTGTGGTTATTCAGGTTAAATAGATGGGGCAGAGGTTGGATACACACACATAGCGAGAAAGAGAAAGTAAAATATTAGGAGAAAAGTAACTTAGAAGGGTTTTCTGCAAATTCTATAGATTTTAAAACTATGTTTAGGGGTTTTTACTCTACTAAAATGATTAAAAAATATAAAATATAAATTTAGAAGAAAAAGTGTTTACATTACAGTAAACTCAACATGATAAAGACTCTCTATATTTAAAAACTTTCAAAAATCAATAATAATTCTATTACATTTTTTATTTAAACCAAATTTTTGGGTGGGTTTACTAGTGTATATTTTAACCCTAGTTATGTAAATTTCCTTTATGTTTTTCTGGCTACTTAAATGATTTTTTCTAGTCCCTACAAACACGCCCTGATTTAATAAAAGGTCAAGGGCTCAAGCTTTAACTGATGGCAAAAGGAGTTAACTTGTTTATTGGCGCATTAGGAGATGACGGTATTTGATATAGAATACAGCAACAATATTGAACACTAAGCATGCGAGGGCAATCAGCGGCGACATGGTCAGATATAGAACATATACGGTTGGTATATACGGCCAGGCCCCCTTGGCCAGTGCCCAAAACCAGGCTGGATGGTATGTCGATCGCCCTAAATGCCGATCCATCATGCTGAATGAGTGAAAAAAAAGGTGTGAAACGAGAGAAATCGAGATGAACAATGCCTCCAAAGGTGAGAATTAATGGTGAGAAAATGAGTGGGAAACTAAGACATTCAATAGGCAAGCCAAATGTTACTCAGGCAATTTTATAGTTGGAAACTTGGTTAATATCACAGGTAATAGCAGGTAGCTCCACTCACTTGAATCGTTCATCGGCAGCAGCCATTTTGGCGCGATGTCGCTCCACAAGTTCCTGCATCGCCTCATCCCTCTCCGTCTGCAGCTTGGCCTTTTGAGAGTCTATATAAATATAGTAAATATAATATTGATTAGCAGGCTTTTCAGGATTTTTTAGTTCAAGATAAACTCACCCAGCTCTTTGCGATGCGTATCGACCATATCCTGCGTGGATAACTGCAGCTCTTTGGCAAATTCTTCCTTCACCTGACCCAGACGCTCGCGGAACTTTTCCTCCATCTCGGCCTTCTCCGTCTCAAACTCCTGTTTCAGCCTCTGCTCCATTTCCACGCGTCGATCCTCCTCACGGCACATGGCATTCTGGTACTCCCGATCCGCCCGATCCAAATGCATGCGGGTCTGGAGCAGGGCATTATCGGAACGTTCGCGCAGGCTGAGGAAATCCTGCTTCTTCAGCTCGAGGCTCTCGTGGAGATCCTCGATCTAAGAGGGGGAAATTGAAGGTGATTTAAATGTATATGAATATGGTTTTTTAAGCAAATAAAGACCCACCTCGGCTCGCAGTTCCTCCTCGTTGGCGGTGTATCGATTGGTCAGTGCCCGCAGCTCTTCAATATGCTCGTTCTGCAGCTTGTCCAAGGCCTCCCGGCGCTCGTCCACATACACGGACTCCAGTTCATTTGTCAGTCTTGTCATCTCTGTGCTGTATTTAAAAAATTGGGAATTAAGTTTTAGATTAAAAAGGAAATGTCTCTGTTTTATTGTTTTATTACTTACTAGAGTTTGTTCTCCCAGAAGGCGGCAGCTTCGTTGCGTACCTCGTCGATTTTGTAGATCGTCTGACGCTCCTTGTCATAGATGGCACTTTGGAAAAATATAATATAATATAAAATAGAATATAACATCCTACTTATACCCACTTATCACACTGATATTTGATCTTGTGCACAGCCTCGATCTGAGCCTCGAGATTATCATTGGCCGACTGCAGATCGGCCTTTAGGTTCTCGATGCGGTCCATTAGCGTCTGGATGGACTGCTCTTGCTCGCTGACCACGCCCCTTAAAGAGTTTACCTGCGCCTGGCAGGTGCGCAAATGGTCCGCCTCCTTGCGACGCGACTGCAGCTCTTGCTCCAGTTCCTCCGCCTTGGCGGCTGCCTGTTTTCGCTCATAGTTGGACTTGTCCACCTTGTCCTTGCACTGGCGTTGCATCTGCCGCAGCTGCCACTCGCAGTCGGTCATCAGGGTTTCCTCTTGCTCTAAAATGTAATAAGATTTTAGTATAAAATATTCTAAAACTGTTTAACAACCCACCTCGGTTGTGTGTCCTGAGCATTTCAAACTCCTTCTGCCACTTATCCTCGCAGATCTTGCGCTCTGCCTCGGAGTTGTCCAGGGCGCTTTTCAGAATGCGTATTTGCTCCTCCAGCTCCGCTCGAATTTTCTCCACCTGTTGGCGCCATTGCTCAGCATCGACCTGGGCACTGGCCAGTTGGGTTTGCAAGCTGCCGGCCAAGCTCTGGTTCTGTTTGTACTTCTCGGTTAGTTCGTGGTATTTGGCTTCAAGTTCGTCTAGGAAAAGAAATTGAAAATTATGGGAGATATCTTTTGACTTGAAAGCTTTTCTTCTACTTACCATATTTACGCTGGAATTCATCTTGATCTTCGCTGTATTTGTGCCTTAAATGAACCTTTTCATCCTCGAGGAGGTGCAGCTTTTTTCGCACATATTCATCGTCCTTGTGGGCGGCACCCAGCTCACCTTGCAGTCCTGGAAAATATATATAAAATGAAGTGATGATAAAGTAGATTTTATTATATATTACACTCACTTTCCACATTCCATTGCTTCAAGGACAGCTCCTGTTCTAATGTCTGAATCTTCAGCTGCATGTCTCCCACCTTGGCCTCTAGTTGGTGGACATTCTTGTGGGCATCGTCCAATTGGCTGCTAAATCGGGCTTTCTGCTGCTTCAGCTCCTTTCTAAAATATCGAGTACAGGGGGATGAGTAACACTCGGAATGGAATAGAGAGAGATAAATCCCTAGACAGATCAGCTCAACTGTCAGACGAATATTTCAAACACAAACTTGTCACTGAATAATCCCCAGCACAAAAACAAAATGAATCACAAACGTGTTGAGAGCACACGCAGCACGAATATAAATAAATAAATAAATAAATAAAAGTAAAACCGCAGAAGAATAATTATTATTATTCTATATATCGTATATAGATATCCCGCGTACCTATAGCTAGACATCTGCCTGACGTAATTTGGATGGAAAAGCTCGTTAAACGTGAATGAGGTGTAAAAGCAGTGGGAATGTCTTCCTCAACCATAATTTGTTGAGATACAATATGTACACAGATATAGTACCTACAGATACAGACGTAGACAAAGATACAGCAACACTTTTATATAATATAATACTATATGTATGTATGTATATTTGTCTCAGTTCTGTGCTTTGTTTTGTTTTGGCTTTTCAACGCAAAAATGAAATACGTTTTAATTGAATTTATCCTAGTCGATTCTTGGTTGCTGCGAAAATGCGCAAAGTTTATTTTTAAATCAACGACTTTTGCGTTGTTTTTGTTGCCGCATTTTGCCAACTCTTTGTCGCTCTCAACGACAAGTACAGTGCGTTTCGAAAGTGTAAACAAATTAAAAGTCAAGGGAATAGATATTAGAAAGGTAAGAGAACAGGCATTGAAGATATCTTTTATATTAATTTAAGTTTTAGATTGAAATTAAAAATAAATAAATACGAAAAGATATAGCCTTTGTGCTTAGAAATTTCATGATAAAAATTGATTACAAGGTAGTTTTAGGATTTCGTCTAATTGGAAATTATATTAAAGAAAGCCTATTTTATTAATTATATTTAAAAATTCCTAAAATGTATTTTTTAACGCCAAAGTTACGCTTTTATTATTATAAAATTATTATAAAATGTATACTAATTTTGATAGGCACTGTCCCCATTATGCGCACATATGTTTCTTATAGACAATGAGAAGCAAATTTATCAAATTTTGTGACACGCGGTCCTAGCTCTGCTCTAGAGATAGTCAGACGGAGATAAAGATAGAAAAAGAGATACTGAGCAGAGGAGACAGATACAACTCGTGTACTTAGATTGAAAGTTATTTCAATTATTTTTGGCAAGAGCAGCATCTCTGCCAGCGATGCCTGTGAACTTTCCGTTGCGAATGCTTAGTTGCCTGCTTGGATTCTTTTGTGTTTATGCCCAAGTTGCTCATTAAATTGGATTAGATAAACAACGGGTGTTGAAGGGGAGCAAGCAGCAGCAGCAGCAGCAGTAGACGTCGAAGCTTCAGGAAAGATGGCCATTAGTTATTCAAAGGAAATTACGCATACGCCGCATGTGCCCGTGGAATAAACAATCTTTCAATGCTAGCCGCCAGAGTGGAAGATACAGCACCTATCCCGTACGCCCAATCAATTATCCACCAAAATCAAGAACAACCCAAATAAAATTCCACAAGTGCACGCCCCCTTCTAGTCCATATTCTTACAAGTTCGCTCTAATTATGAACGTTTCTATGAACACTTGTCTTTTTTTCTGCAGTCCGCCCGAAATAAGCAAAGCGAATAAAACTAGAGCAGGCAGATCGTGTTCTATGCACATGAGAAAATATGATTGAGAAAAAACTACAGTAAATAATTTAAGCCGAAGCAGTGGATACTCTGAAAAACTATAAAATGTATAAAAATATTATTTTAAAAATAAAGGAAATTATTTAAAATGTTTATAGGAAAGTATATCGAATTGTTTATAAAATTCTTTTGATTAATTTTAGAGATTAAGAAACATCTGAATATTTATTTTTTTAACCCCCCTCTCAAGTGTTATACCCTCTGTCAAAGTAAGCCAAAAAACAAGCGTGGGAAATGGTCGACATGTTGCCAAAAAAGAATTGTTGGCAAAGAGGAAGAGCACAGCAAAACGAGAAATGACGAAGTGAATTTATTTTTGCTTTCGTACAAGTGTTCGTTCAACTGATTTTCAACCAAAATCTCAATGTTTATTATTATTGAAACACGAAAATTTTACATAAATATAATTTGTCGAAATAATTTTCGCCATTTAAATATGAGACACTTGCCGTACCGGCTGTCATAATCTGTCATATCGAACGAAGGCCAAACAAAGCCACCGAAAAATGCCACTAAGCGATAGCTTTCACATTGCGTATACGTAATGAGAGACACGAACCGTAACAAGTGGGATTTTCTAAGGAATTTGTATCTATAAATATTGTTATTCGTTGTGAATATGTTGTGAAGGGAGATGAAAAGGCTGCAATTAGTTTTAAGACAAATTCCACTACCACAACACAATCATATATTTCTTATTGAAAAATATATATTAAATAATTTCCTACTAAATCAATAAACTAATTTTTATTAATGCAAAATATATATAAAGGCTTATTTGATTGGCAGATGCCAGAATATATTCATAGCCAGTATTTATACGTGGTGATCCATTTAAAAATAGGCGCCCCTGACTACTGGAAACGCAAATCAAACAGGAAAATCAAATTGGCAAGAGAACACAGAATGAAACCAACAAAACGAGGGGGAAATTTCCGCTGAATGGGTGATCCGTGTGAGAAACCAGAGCACCGGGCATGTTCCATGACACAAAGATCAAGATAAATTGCCTGCATCTAGCAATTTTAATGCTGAAATTGTTGGCATGCGCATGTTATTAAATAAATACGTCGCACTTTAAGCTTAAACTGCTGGTACTAGCCAAATATCAAGTATACGCCCGAGGGTATATGCTTTAAAAAGGATTAATTTAATAACCAGAATCGAATTAATTCGCATTTATTTATTTGTTTTATTGATTACTTGATTTAAACAAGTTTTGATAATGTTTAATTTAAACAACAAAAGCATTGTTTTCTGTCAATTATTGAATCAAACAATGAATACAGTATCCAAATTGGATAATTTGGTTTTTCTTTCTTTTTTTGTTAATGTTTATATTGCTTTTAAATAGTAATTTTTGAATTATAAGCACACAAACGAGACAAGTATTCTTTTAATTATGATTAAAAACAGTTTTAGGGAACCAAATCTCATGAATTAAACTATTAAAACGTATCCAAACATCCTTTAAATTGTTGCCCATCCTTAGCTTATCCCCTTAAGAACCCATCAAACTTATTTAACAATGTTTATTGCACTCACCTGAGTTCCTGATTGTCAAACGGACTCTCCTGCCGCACTGGCTTATTCAGGACACTCCCGTCCTCGATGATCTCAATGCTGGGCGGCATATCCTGGCCGATACAACTGTCGTCCCAGCTACGCTGCTTGGGACTGCCGCTTCGACTGCGACTGCGACCCTCGACGTGGATGGGAATAAAGTGCACATTGCCCAGGCTGTTGCCCCCCGCTCCATTGGCGATATTGATGTTGATCTGCGAATCGCCGCCATTTGTGGTCGCTGCTGCACCGCCTGCTGCTGCTGCTACGCCTGCCGCTGCTGTTGCTGCGGATGCTGATGTGGTCGTGCTGGCGGTCGTTGACTCCACAACCACATCCGGCAGACTGATGCTCTCGATGCATACCAATCGCTCGCTGAACTCGCTGTCGTCGAGTTCGTCGCACTGCAGAAAGGTCTCCTCGCAGTCGGTGGAGTTGCCGTCCCGGATGAAGTTCAGGTGGTGGTGGTTCAGGTGATGGGAGGAGCTGCGTGGCGGTGGCTGTGGCGGCGACTGTTGCTGCGGTGGCAACTCCTGATCCCCAATCCCCGAGTCGGCATAGCTGCTGCTCAGATTGGAGTCACTTTTCAGGGCGCTCCTTTCGCTGCTGGCCGACTGGCGAGAGGTGCCATTGGCCTGCTGATGCCCAGCATGTGGCTCGTACTCCAAGTCCACGGCCTCATCTACCTCGTCGTCGTCTTCATCATGGTCCTCCTCCTCTGCTTCCTCTTGGACATTCTCCAGCTTGACATGACTCAATCGTGTCCAGGGGCGGTTATTCGTATTTTGATATATGGTTGCTGGTATATCGGAGGCAAAGACCTCATCTTCCAGGGTTTCTATGTGCGCCTCGTTGAGTTCCTCGATGTTTAGCGAATCTTCTGCGTGATTATTAAGTTCGTAAAAGGTCTCGTGCTTTTCGGCCTCCTCCTCCTCCGACGATGAATGAAAACTGCAATCCTCGACCGTGATTTTGGGCACTTCCGGTGATTTCTGATGACGCGGCGGTGCCTGCGGTGGCTGCGGACTCACAACCGACTCACGGAACTCACGCGGCGTGCTGGCACGCGAACTATGCGCCGAACCGATTTCGTTCGGTTTGGCGCTGGTCTGGCCCATGATTATGTCACTTAATTGCTGATGCTGTTGCTCCTGTTGCTGCTGCTGTTGCTCCTGCTTTTGCTGCGGCGCTTGATGTTGCTGCTGCTGCTTGGCCAGATGTTGCTGCGGGGCACTTGCATTGCCGGCTGTCGGCAACTGTTGCTCCTCCGGCTGCTGCTGCTGTGTTTCCCGCTCAACGCTTGCCGCTTGAATGAGCTGCTGCTCGGTGCCGAATGAACGCATTGCTCTTGGCTTTTCCCACTCACTCTCGGCCGGAAAATGCTGGCTCTCTGCCGGAAAATGGCTGTGCTCTTCGCTAGCTCCAGCTGGGTTACTGTGCTCTTGGCTCGGACTCTTTGCTCTTCGCTGATCGTCGCAGACGTCGTTCTCTGGGCAACTATTATTAGCCAAAGTCATTTGATAAGTATTCGGGGATGCGAGCGCGGGGTCGGAGTTCGTTTCAAGGTGTGCCGCGCTAGCGATTACGTCTTTGGCATTACTTTTATTCGATTTATTTGTCTTGCCAGTGGCTACGATTTGCTGATGTTGTTGCTGCTGGGACTGCTGCTGCTGCTGCTTTTGACGCTGGTGGTTTCGACCACGCGCCATGAAAATGTCGCTAAGGAACTCGCGACTCTTCTGCAGAGTCCTGCGCTTTTTCGGCTCTGTTTCCGGGCTCTTGGGCGTGCTATCCCCGCTCGAGGAAAGTCGGAATCCGCCCAGGGAAAGCAGCGATTGTCGCTTTTGGGAATCGTTTTCGGTACGCTGGCGATGGACGATTCCGGGGGCACTGGGACCATCGATTTGTGGCTCGCTAATGCCAATTAATGCCCGATCTCGACCACCAACGTTTCGGCTCGCGATCGCGCTGGCTGCCTCGTTTTGACTGCTGGGAGCTGCCGCATTTCGACCATCCGTCGTCGTCCTCGCATCTCCGTCCGTTTTATTTATATACGAAAGATTGTCGGAGCGGCCATTAGCAGCTGTTTTTGCTAATTTTAAACGCTCTTCGTCGCCGCTGCCAGCTTCATTATCGCCATCGTTGTCATTATCGCTGGCAAAGTCCTCCAGCTCTTCGATCACCGCCCGACGTGCTGCTCTTTCCGGCTTCTCTTGTTGGCTAAGAGCACTCGTCGTCGTCCCTGCGGCATTACTACTGCCCCATCTCGAGGGTCTGTCCTCCTCGTCACTTGTGTCGTAGACTTTCGCCTTGTGCGTTTTTCCACGACGCGATCTTCGCAGCAAATTGAACATATTTTTGTCTCTCTTAATAGTGTCTCTTTTGATTATTATTTTTATATTATTTCTCTTGTTCAATATCCATTTGCTTTTGCTCGTTTTGGCTGATCTTTCGTTGTGTGTTTTTCGTTTTATAAACAAATCGTTGTTTTGTTGCAATTATTTCGTATTTTTATGTGTTTTATAAATGCTTTCAACCTGTTGAAAATATTTTACAAATATTACATTAGTTTCGGTCGCTTGTCAGTGTGGGCACGAGACCTAATTGGCCTTAATTATAATGCTTGATCTTGAGTTTACCCCGCCCGCACGCGCCCAATAAGATTCTGCGGATGCGGATTTGCCGCTTCGACTTGGCTGGCGGATAAACTGCGACTGTCGCTCAGTAAACGCTCCATGCAGTGCGTCCACTGTCGCGATCGTCATCATCATAGAGCTCATCATGATGATGACAATGCTGGACAAATGTGAGTAACAACAACACTCGGGCAAGCAAACTGTGAGTACTAGTACTTGGCATGTGTGTGTGTGTGTAAGTTCACTGTGAGAAATAAATTGGCAAAACAACTATTTTTATACTCTTTATTTTTTTCTGTGTTAGTTCAATGTAATGAATATTATTAATATTTATAATTACTTTTTGGTAGCAACATTTAATTTTTAGCATGTACCCTTGATTTCATAGGGTTTGAAGTGGTATTAAAGTTAATCTAAAATTATTTAAATGATAGAATGTATAAAAAAGTTCTCTCAAAGTATTTTTTAAGCTGCACATCTGACTCACATTGAGGCACATTTCATAATTTGTTTTAATTATCTTACAGAGCAACACACACATCTAAATACAATGCTTATGGTTAGCTTGATAATTGCTTATGAATATTAATTGATGGGGTAGAAAGCCGGAGCCAGAGCTCTGCCTGCGTTGACCTATTCCTAGTGCCATTGTTATGGCCATAGCCTATGCGTCATTATATGTCACCCGATGAGCGAAAACAACAAATTTTGCCAATTGTAGAATGCGCATTGTTGAAAGCCCGAGCTTAGATTGAGTTATTCGACAGCTGCTAAATATTTCCGAATGGAAAGTGAAAATTATTCAACTGTTTGGTGGGATGATTTGCAGACGTGGCGGGTTCTATTTTAGATAAAATATTTAATTGAAAATTAAGCTTGTGGTTTTAAAGCTAATAAAATATGACTTTTTTAAAGTGGTATTAATGTTGATTTTTTTTTTTAATAATTACATAATATTAATATTTTATGCATTTAAAATCTTCCTCATAAATTAGGACTAAAAAAGTAATTATTAATAAATATCTAAACACATTTAAGCAACAAATACAAATGCCATACAGATGTATTTAAAATCTGTATGGCATTTGTATTTGTTGCTTATAACTTTAAAGTAATACAAGATTTTTATATATATTTTTGCAAGGTATAGAGTATAATTAAAAAATAAAAAAAAAATATTTTCAGATAGTTAAGTAAAAAATTTCCTATTAAAGTCAACTCCTAAAAGTATGCCAACATGTCCCCCCCTTTTTAATTTTATTATTGGCTACCGCAACCATTTTTTTTCAGTGCCCTAAAAAAAATCTGCACTTGAGTCAGCGGCAACTCCTTAGTCATTAGTGTTTCCATTCAAACCAAAGTTCAAATTGCAACGAGCAGAGCCAAAAATAAACTAATCACATTGCACCGAGCCCGAGCAACATCATAATCCGAGTGCAATTGCCTCGAAACTCCTTTAGTTTTTCCCCTCATTTTCCATGGCATCTATTTCAAGTTCAGGATGTACGCATCGCTCTCTTGCGCTTTCCTCCATACATTTTGCACATAAACGAACCAATTATAGCCAGCAATAAAATAAACCACAAGAAAAAGACTCGCTGATTCTCCAAGCATACATCTAAAAATAAATATCTATTCGAATCGTTGCTCTCGTAGGGCTTCCTCACATTGACGTCACCATAAAAGAGGCGAACGTAGGCGCCAGATCAGTGTAAAAGATGTTCAGGAAGATATATGGATAATTAAATTTGTAGATAACATTCGGAGAAAGACAAATAAATTTCGCTTAAATAGATATATAAATAAATAAAACATTCGTTTAAAAATGTGTGTATTTAACGATAGAGATCTACATTTGGTACTTTCAAAACCTGCATTTAATACTATCACTATCATCATTAATAAAATGAATGTTTCGAAGTTTGCAATTTTTGGGTTTTCCACAAATTCAGCGGCGCAATTTGCAAACATTTTGGCTTCCAATGCACGGAATTTATTTTGAAAATATAAAATAGATAAACCCCAAGCAACATCAACAAATATAAAATTGGAAAATGGTAAAGAAAGGAGGGGGATTCGGGTCTGGCCAAGTGCATGACGTTTTTGCTTTTGGCACGAAATCCCAAAACGGAAATGATGCAGGTAAATATAATGCGAAAAGTATATGGAAAATCAAAATCCATTTGGAATTTCCTTACAATTTCTAATTCTTACTAAACATTCATATATCTGTTTACGTATCGGAACCACTGACCCACTTCATAAGTCGTTCAAGTTTACAGCCTTCAACCAGATGGCACACACTTTATATCATTGTTGAATTTACATCTAATATCTTTGCCAATTATTGCACAAGTTCAGAAATAAAATAAAAACGAAAATCATAAATATTTTCAACGTGAAGTAAAGCAGACGCAGGCACAGACACAGACAAACCAAAAGGCAACAAAAATGAGATAAATGAACAATAAATTTTGCACTTGGCCAATGCCATTGCCCCGACCTATAGGCCCAAAACTCTGTCAATAAAATCCATTAAAGAATTCTTTAGGAAAAAAATGTGTTAAAATATTTATATATTTTTTCGGCGAGTGGGGCGGCGGCATAAAATTAATAGAAATTAAAATAATATGACAAAAGAAAAAGAGGCACAAGAAAAATATGCCATGAATATTTGGCATGCTTCTGTCGACTTTTTAACATATGTTTGCAATCGAGCGGAAATATATGGCCATACATATTAACACGTTTAGATAGGACAGTGCGTTTCAGATTTATAAGCTAACTGTATTCAGATTTAATAGTAGGTTTTTATTTATTTTTTATATGTATATCTGTTGATTACTAATTTTGTAAATCCAATTGCACTAATTAAAATAATTAACCAATTTTTTATGAAAATTTAATTGGCTTTAAATATTTTTTTATTTACAAATTCAAATTAAAATTAATGTATATATTTATGAAACGCACTGCATACATAAGCACATTAGTTAACAGCAAAAACACTTGATACTTGACGCGTGGAGACAAAAATCCACTTGAAGTTTATTTTCTCGAGTTGAAAAAGTGTAAGGGGAAAATACCCTGAGTATTATCTAGAGATATGATTTAGAATAGAGAATTTCCACTGCTAGGTGCAACTGTCTGTGGACCCTGCCGGGCACTTTCCCTTCACTCTCGGCATTTATTTACTTTTCTTTGCTCAGTGCTCGCTGGCTTGCTGGCTCATTTGTTTGTTTGTCGCCGCCCACACAGCCGACCTGGCACTGGGCCAACTGACATTGACTGATGCCAGATCAGGCGGCTGATCCAAAACATTCTGGCCACAGAGTTCCCGTCGCCCAGGGACGGGTTAATGTTGTTCTGAGCTCCTCGGATTTTCCCGTCTCGAGCTTTTTGCTGCTGCTTTAGCTGCTTTGGTTGCTGATGATTTTCCAAACAGTTTTTATGCGCTCTCTCTGAACTGCTGGATGTTGCCCGGGGAGGTGATAAAAACGGCTTACTTACACATAAAAACAGATATGTAAATCAAAGCGAGCGGGTGGATAATAAATTTGAAAATTAGTGAAACTATTAAAGCATGCGACAGGCGACAAAAAATAATTGCGACACATCCGCCTTGAGGTGTTGAGCGAATTAATTGGGTGTATCTTGGCCAAAGCCAAAACAATATTAAATATGTAATCCGCATTTACAGTGATGGCTCTTAAATTGTTGAAATAAATTTTATACATTGTAATTTATGGGTTTTAATAAAGGGGAAATGCCTTGAGAAAAACACTTGGTACAATATTAAATTAATTAAATATGTTATATTAAGCTTTATGGTATATTTAAAACTTTGAAACAGTAGAATTTTATTTAAGGTGACGTTATTCTTTCAATCTGTGCGGATATTATCAAAATATATATTCTTTTTTACAGTATTTACTGTATATTTTTTAAAATAATTTTTAAGAATATTAATTACATTATCTAAACAGTTATCTCCAACTTACTTCAGCCACGCTTACAGTGATTATTTATATATGTAGATTATTTACACAATTACACAAAAAACCACACACGTATAAACGTCCGGCCAATTGAATTTGACTTGAATTAATATTTGTCGTGAGAATTATTATTTGAAAAAATTAAGTTTTTCCATTTCCGCTTGGCACACGTTTACAGGGCTGCTGGGTTAGGAAAATTTTGAGGTGGCACTTGTTACACTTGACACTTGTTATTCGTGGACAGCAGACGACACATGCTTGGGCGGCCCAAGCGCATTGACAGCGCAAGGCGGAAAATCCATTTTCACTTTTCACAATGCGGCGCTCGCGTTCCAAACGGCGCAACAAACGGTACACGACTGACTGCTGATCTGGCGTAGGAAAAGCGCCGATGCCAAGGAAAATTGTCGCTCGGCGGTGGCTATCGATAGATGCCCGCCGATCAGAGGCCAAATGGAATGGAATTATTTAACCGAAACAGATCTCGATTGTTGCACAAACATACACAAGTACATATGGAAAGCACAGCTGACCCATAAAAGTGGCAAAATATTTACAAAGCCAATATGATACCGATCAGCGGCGGGAGAAATGCAGTAAAAGCACAACGTTAATATCGGCCAATTGAAGCCAACGGATTCAAAGCGAATCCATTAACATAATAATAGGTCTTTAATAGAGGAAACCGATTTGATTTTATTTTGATTTCATTTCCCTTTTGCTTTTGTTTACAAAACAGACACTAGTTTCCACAAACAGTGGGATTATATATGTTTGAAAAAAAAAATTAAAAAAACAGATTAAAAAATATAAACAGTGGTGCATGTAAAACCTAATAATAATATATATTATAATTTCTTTTTCTAAAATGTATATTTCTTTAACTAGGAATGTTCTTAGTTATATGGCTATTTCAACTTTAAAAAGAGAGACATTTTTTTAAATTTAAGGGTAATTTTTCGTGAATTAAGAAACAATAAGTTACTTTTAGGGAAATTAACTATGTAATAACACATATTTAATAGCTTTAAATGTAAGAGGACAAACATGCAAACATGTATCGCTCGCCACTGTACTTCATGCCATGGATGTTAGAACCATTTGGGAATTATATGTGCAGAAGTGTGACATTTTTGGCTGTGAGATTTTTACGGAAAATTCGCAATGGTTTTTTTTAAATTATGAATTAAGAAAGGCATTAAATGAAGCCAATCAGAAAAGTCCCCTAAATTTGATAGAAATATAAAAATTATTCCTAAAAAATTATATTATTATTATAGAAGTATTAAGCTGATGGACATGGCTGATATAGAAGATGTATTCATGTGTCAGGTTACCTATATATAAATAAATTTTTAAATAAAATTCTGCCACGACTCTTCACATAATTTAATTTCCAAATTGCAATTAAATAAATTAGGTTTACAAATCATCTGACAGCTGTTATCGTAAATGACATTACCAAATGGAAAGCGTTTAATTGACTCCAAGCTGAGTCAGTTTAACTTCAACTTTCAAACGGAATTGCATCCAAGTTTTAGCCAACGAATAATGAAAGCAATAAAAATTCCAGTAGTACTTTTACTATGCCTATTATTAACAGAGGCTACTGATCCGGAGCCGCAGCTGGAATTTTTGGACAAACTCTTTAAGATAATGAATGATCAGGACACAATTGAGACAATCATAATTCTCCAACACCGTCAGGATCTAAACTGCCCTCTTCAACGCTGGAACTCACGAGAAATACCCGTTCTGCGATCAAACGAGCTGTCCTCCTTCGAGGTCAGGAGAATCATGAAAAAACAGCTTCTGGTCATGGTCTGCATTGATGGCGATTCGGATCACATACTCCTCAATGCCTTGGCCAAAATCCTGGAAAACCTTCGACAGTATCGAATTATACTTTGGACTCAAAAGAAACCAACGAGGGATTTTTTGGCAGATATCTTAGAGCAAGTCGTCAAGTTTAAGTTTCTTCAGATAATAGTCATAGCCATGGACACTCATTCCGAGGGAGTTCTGTCATTTCATCGCTTGCATGCTTTTCCCTCTCCCCGCTTTGTAAACATTAAAAATAATTCAAACATGAAAGACATGGTCTTCCCAAACCTTAAATTCAATTATAAAGGCTTGCCGGCCACTGTGAAGATTCCTCCCTCTGACTTTACAATCCCTGTTAAAACGAAAACAGGACTCTTTCCTATTTCCAATGGCGAAGACATGGAAATTGTAGAGTTTTCACGAAGGTACAACTTGGATTTAAAATTGTATGATGAAAATTTATCAGATCATTTCGATATTCAGTTAAATCCACAATTCATTAGGCAAAATGATTCTTTTGCTCAGACGGAATTTGTCAGTCCCTCCTCCATATCCTCGCTGTTGGTTGTGGTGCCTTGTTGTAACAACCGAAGCTTGAAGTGCTTCATTAGGAAACTTGATTTACAAACTTGGCTATTGTATCTTTTGCCAGTATATGGCACCTTCGTGCTGGTGGAGAGCCTTGTTCTCGTGGTGACCCATCGAATGTATGGCGAGTCATATCGCCTGACCAACTTGAATCCGCTGTTAAATCTACGAGCCTTTCGGGCCATTTTGGGCCTTCCATTTCCGGAGTTAGGCAGAGCGAGCCTTTCACTGCGGCAACTTTCTTTGGCCATAACCATTTTCGGATTTATCTTTAGCAACTGTTTCAGCTGCAAGCTGACTGCCATGCTCACAAAGCCACTGCCCCTTGCAGAGGTGCGAAATTTCGAGGAGCTTAGGGCCAGCGGATTGACAACTATTACGGATGAGTATATTCATTCCTTTATTGAGAACAACATTGATTCGCAGTTCTTCAATCAAGTAATACCGAATTTTATGATTTTAAAATCAGTTGACCCGCTGAGTTTCGTTTTTTCATTGAACGAAAGCTATAGCTATATAATATACTCAAAAAATTGGCCATACTACCAAAAGTTTCTAAGCTCCACCGGAAAAATGAATCATTGCACGTCAAAAGATTTGATTATAGCTCGAAATCTGCCGCGAATGTATGTTTTGGAGAGCAATTCCATCTTTAAATGGATGCTGAGTAGATTTGTGATGTACGCTCAGGAGGCGGGCATTACCGAGCATTGGAATAGGTTCTGTTTTCAATTTCTGATTAAAGCCTTTAACTTAACTGTTCAACAAAATGTAGGCACTCGATATGTTCCGTTATCCTTGCAGCAGTTCAACTGGCTGTGGCATCTGCTTGCAATTGGATATGGTATTGCCACAGTGGCTTTTCTTGTGGAGATCTATTTAAACAAGAGACGAGGTGTTGGGCAACAGAAGCACCCGGTGTGAATTACACATATAATACCCCAAATGTTTACTTATCAATGTTGTTAATTCCTTAAAGCTCATTATATCAATAATAATTAAATATTTGAATTTAATAAAATTTGTTTGTGATCTTGATGTAGAAAACGATGTTTTCTTTGTTAAGGTTAAATCAAAATGAAATGTTATATTAGATTTATGAAGCACATCTAAAGACTTATGACACTACATTGTTACTAACACTGTCCCTGTTCAATGTAGATACTTTTTATTTCAACCTATTTAATGTAATAAAAATATGGATTGAATAAAAATAAATATTGTTTTGAACTGATAAATGAATTTCAAAATTCCCCTAATAAAAGGCTTACAAAATTTGTAATACAAATACATAATCATTTTATTTATACAACATCAAACATTGCATATAGGGATAAGTATTACATTTATTCAACAATAGCAAATAGAGATACAAATTGAAGGACATTTCACTTTACATCATTAATGTGTTTTAAACTTTTTTGAAATACAAGATTATGTGACATATTTAGCGGGATTAAATTCGTTTAATTAACTTTCTATAAAGGTTAGAATTGGTGAAAAAGAAAAGTCTAAGATTTAATTACAATATTGAGTCATTCCGTGTATATTGTGGCCTCCGATTTCTTTTATTCAATTGATAAAAAATGACCTCCAAAGAAAACACGAGAGCAGCCGTGCCATGGCCTAGGACAAGAAGGTACCACAACAGCTTAAGATGCTCCAAGGACAGAGAAGCTAATTTCGGCTTAACACTTTTAGAAATTTTGAGGTTCATAGCACGTCTGGCATCGTGGTATTTATTCCGCTTCCAAAGCTGTGAAATACCAGCCTCTTGGAGTCGTGTCACGGCTTTGGATAGCGGCCACTTGTATATGGAGTCCTTCTGCAAAAAGAATATCATGGGAATATTATCTATGATACCGAGATCTGGAGAGACGCAAAAAGCCTTTCGTCCTTTGGAAATTTGATAGTTATTTATATGCGGCCAGTTTTCTTTTAAAATAATATAGCTATAGCTTTCGTTCATGGTCAGTAGTAATATGGCGCGCTCCGTTCTTGGCATGGTCATTGCGTTTGGTATAACTTGGCGAAAGAAATCGGCATGGAGATTCGACTCAATAAACGACCAAACTATCGGGTCGACAATCACGGTCATTCCACTGGCCCGCAACTCCTCGAAATTCGTCACCTGGCCATGATGCGAGTGCTTCGTGAGCAGAGCACTCAGCTTGCAGCCAAAGAAATTGCTAAACACCATTCCGAAAATGCTCATGGCCAGGAAGAGCTGGCGAAGTGAAAGGGTGTCCCTGCTGCTGATGGGAAAGGACATGCCTAGAATAGCTCCAAATGCCCGAAGGTTAACAATTGGATTTATTCTGGTCGCGCGGTAGGTTCGTCCTGACATCCGGTAGGTCACCACCAACAAGAAGGTCTCTACCAAAACCTGCAAGGCGTACACACAAAAGATGTAGAATAACCAGGCCCGGATGTCCAGTTGCTTGAAGACTTCCTTAAGACTCATTTCCCGGGCACAGGGCACCATAACTATCATTGATGACGACATGAACTGACCTACATATGCCAGTTGGTCTGCCAATGCATTCTTCGAGAGAAATTGCGGATTTAATTGAATGTCAAAGGAGCTCGCATTGCCCTGGTTTTCCACACACAGTTTTAAAGTCAGATTATAATGGCGTGCAAACTCGAAAATTTCTTTATGATCGATTTTTAAGAAGTCCAGACTATCAGGCCGAGTAATATTGGCATCGACGATAGCCGTTCTACCCATAAAATCAATACTATTCGGGGTAAAAACATTGCGCTGAAGGCTGGAAATGTTATCAAAACGAACAAAGTGTGGACTGGGATGGAGATGGACCCGATATATGATCGGGGGATATTCCCCCATTTGCAATATAAGCATTTCGATGAATTTAAACTCGTCCACCTGCTTTAAAATTAGCTGGAAAAGCTGTTTCCTTGGCTGTCGTTGCATCCACAAAATAATGCGCTCTTGTCGCACGCTCTCGAAGGTCTTTGCCAAATGGTTAAGCATCTTGGTGTCCGAATCATTGTCCATGCAGACTAGGGCCAAAGCCAAATTGTTAAAGTTGGGTCTTAGTGCGATTAAAGTCTTCTCATTGGAACGCAGGATAGGGATGCTTGACGGATTCCAGTCCTGAAGGCTACAATTCTTATCCTTGCTGTCCTGTAGTACAGTAATCGTCTGTATAGACCTATGTTTTTCAATGAATTTAATTAGTCGATTCAGAAATTTCAATTGTCTTTCGACTAAGACTTCGGTTAAGGCTTGGCTTAGAAGAAGGATTAGCAGAGTTCCCGATATGAGCCTCATAGCTGAGTTTGTTGTAAATTTAAATGAAGCACCAACGTGTAGAATGGTTAAAATTCGACTAAATGTTCGCACTTAGTTGAAGAAAAAGGTAGTACAATGTTGATTGTGAAATTTTATAATACCTTCACTTCTTCATTAAATGGAAAGCCATTTACATAATAGGAGACGCACTGAGGGGCAAATCTATTGATCTAATTCATAACTGTCAATCAACGACTAATCCACAAATCCTCTTTTGATAATTAGAAAAAGCACATTTCCATAGACTGTGGAAAATCGCAATTAAAAACTTTCTTTTTGGATGTGATATAAGATAAAGGAAACTTTATTAATTCAGTGAAACACATTTTAATAAACATAATTGCTTTGGATAATATAAATAGTAATTACTTTTAAGATTTATTACAGGCATATATTTGTATTTGTTTATATTTGCTTTACATTTTCAGATAAATTTATAAGTTTAAAACAATTTTAAACCACCAAAACATTTTCACTTCTCTTCGGTCCAATTTTATTTTTCTTTAGACCTTTTAGCATTATCTCAATGATAAAAACAAAAGTGGCCAGTCCATAGCCACATCCAAGGAGAAGCCACAACCAATTAAGGTCCGCTATACGCAATGGGACTTCCATATGTTTGGGTTTAATACTAAGAGTCGCGTTGAAGATTTTGTGGAAAATGTAGGGTGTTCGATTTATCCAATGTTTATGGAGACCACTTTCGCGGACTCTTAACAAAAAGTTCGATAGAGGCCAGTCATAAATTGAATTTTTCTTCAACACGTGCATTTTCGGCATACCGTGGATGATGGTCAGGTCCTTGGAGTCACATAGAACCTTTCGTCCGAAAGATTTCTGATAACTTTCAAAGACTTTCCAGTTGTCTGAGATGATAACATATGCGTAACTGTCGTTTAACGAAAGAAACAATCGTGTTTTTTCTGCAAGTGTTACCCAATGCACTCGAGTAATTGTCTCGTTGAAGAATTTAGGATCTATTTCAGTTTCAATATAAGTACGAATCCCATTGTTTATTACAACAGACAGGTCACTGGCTCGTAAATCATCAAAATTCCTAACCTGTGGATACTGCGATTGCTTGGTAAGCAGGGCGGTCAACTTGGCGCTGAAGAAATTACTAAATATCAGACCAAAAACGCTGATGGCCAAAAAGAGTTGCCGCAGTGAGGGGTTTGCCCGGCGGCTGATGGGAAACGAAAGGCCCAGAATGGCTCTGAAGGCTCGCAGATTCAGGAGCGGATTCAGATTGGTCAGTTGGTAAGCGCGGCCATTGATGCGGTGCGTCACTAGCAAAATAATGGTCTCCACCGCCACAAAGGTGACATATACTGGCAGAATGTAGAACAGGTTGGACTTTATGTCGAGTTGTTTAAGGATACTGCTAATGGACCTCAACCTGCTGCAGGGAACCACGATCATGAGAGTGGATAAGTCGTAGGGGTTAAGGTACTTCAGGTCCATCTTGGTGGAGGTCATCCGGGAACTCATTAGGATGTCAGGGGACACATTTGATTTGGAGGATGATATAACTTTCAGCTTCAAATTGTATTTTCGGGCAAACAGCATGATCTGGTGGTTTTTCTGTAGCCATTGGAAAGGCGTTGAGAGATTGTCGGCTAATTGAGCATAAACTGGTCGAAGAGCATCGTAATCGGGTAGGACATTGGCTGTTCTGCCTGTAAAGTCAACGACAATTCGAGGGAAAGCAGCCATCTTTCCGACTTGAACGATCTGTGAATTTGGAACAGCAAGAAAGCGGTGAGCACTGAGGATCTCGCCCTGATCAATACTAACTTCCAAAATGAGAACTTGAAGATATTCATACAGCTTGATTTTATGGGAGATACGTTGAAGCACCTCTTGGGTGACTTCCTTTTGCATCCACAAGATAATCCGTTCTTGCCGCATTCCATCAAAGACTTCGGCCATATTATCGATGAGGCTGAAATCGGAGTCCTTGCCGATGCAGACTAGGCCTAGGCCCTGGGTATTGAAGTTCCTTCTAACCTCTATTTTAGCCAGTTGATTGATGCGCAAAGTTGGAATTTCTCGACGGTTCCAATCTTGGAGTTCACAGTTCCTATCCTGAAGATGCTGCAATATCACCAATGTTTCAACTGGATTCACTTTTTTGATATTTTCAAACAGTTTGTTGAGAAACTTTAGGTTGGGACTCTGGGTATTCGAGAGAGTTATTTGAATGATTAACATCACTGTTATTGCCGTTTTGACTGCTGTAGCCATGATCCCTAACTTCTTTCTTACTTCTTCCAAGGAGGGTACAGAATAAATTGAATAAGTTTCTATTTTGTACTGCTCCAAGAGCGAAATGTTCACAGCGAAAGGAGAAACTTATTGAATGACAGCTGTCGGACGATGGACTTTCTGATGTCAATACACTTAATGGGAACTCATTAACTTAATAAGATGACTTAAGCGTGTAGCAAGGACTCTTATAATACTCTCGCAGTAACTTAGTTTAATTTCAACTTTTTAACAAGCAGATACTCAACTTAGAAGCAGCGAATGGAGTCCGTAAAGATTATAATTATATTTTACCTAATCACTGGATCCCTGGCTCATAGTTCCGACTACACCCAGCTTAGATTTCTGGACCAACTTATTGATATTATCCAGAAAGATCGTCCTATCGAGACAATATTAATGTTCTGGCAAAGTGAGGACAAGACCTGCACTCTGCAACGCTGGAGTCCCAGCGGTATTCCATTTCTACGTTTTAATGAGCTGGCCAGGATGAGGCTGAGGGGAAAGTTCAACAGCCAGGCATTGGCTATTGTATGTCTTAGAGAAGACTCCGAATCCGACTCCGAGCTCCTCAAATTAGTGGCAGAAGCTTTTGACACCATGCGCCAGGAGCGAATAATACTGTGGATGCAGAGGAAGCCCACTAAGAAGTTCCTCGAAGGGCTCTCCAGGCAAGCAGACTCGTTTAAGTTCACCATGATGATGGTGCTGGAGATGGGTAATGATACTAAAGGAGTGGTCTCTTTCCATCGCCTAAATGCGTTTCCTACACCTCGTTTCGCGCGACTTAGAAATATTAGAAAAATCAAAAACATGATATTCAACAAACGGCATTACAATTTTCGTGGAAGGGAACTTATTGTGAAACCCAACTCGGATACAAATTTCCGACACGGAATTGAAACCAACTCATCTGCTCTTTATCCTACAGCCCATTTGCAAGACATGGAAATCATACAGTTTGCCAAGAGGTGCAACGCAAGTCTGAAAGTACATGATGGAATCCACGAAGATCGTTTTGATGTTAAACTAAATCCGCAAATTCTCACCATGCAGAAATTCAACAATGATATGTATTTTGTGAATTCCTGGCCGTCTTCGTCGCTAATGATTGTGGTCCCCTGCAGCAGTCAACTGACCGTTGCTGAAATTATCAAGCAGAGAGGTCCTGACTTGGGTGTGGTACCTTTTGTGCGTCTACGGATCCTTCGTGTTGGTGGAGTTATTCATTCTCGTTGTTACCCGCCGTATAACCGGCGTGCCACACCGTCTCAACTTATGGAACCCGCTCTTAAATCTTCGAGCCTTTTGCGCCATTTTAGGCCTTTCATTTCCGGAGTTGCGCAGGGCCAGTCTCTCTCTTCGCCAGCTTTTTCTGGCCATGACCGTCTTTGGGTTCATTTTCAGCAACTTCTTCAGCTGCAAGCTGAGTGCTCTGGTCACCAAGCCCATTGAACACGCTCAGGTGAGAAACTTTGAGGAATTACGGGCCAGTGGAATGACAACAGTTATGGATGTTTACCTTCGCTCCTATATAGAGAGGGAAATCAATCCGGAGTTTTTCAACTTGGTTGTCCCAAAAGTAATTACTGTGGAACATCCCGAACTTGTAAAGCTGTTTTCTTCATTTGACAAACGCTATAGCTATCTATTGTTGTCATCAAGTTGGGAACCATATAACCATTTTCAGATTTCCAGGGGAAATAAGATCTATTGCGACTCTCAGGATTTGGTTATTACTGAGGGATTGCCCTGGGTATATGTTACGCAGAATAACTCTTTCTATAAGCGGCCCTTGTCCGATTTCTTGATGATTATCCTGGAGACTGGCATCTCTAAATATTGGATGAAAAGCATACATGACAATTATATGAAGTCCCAAAATATAAAGCCTCAAATGGACAAGTCCAATGTAGTTCCCATATCTCCTGACTATCTGTGCTGGTTGTGGCATATGTTATTTGTAGGCTATGGCATTGCCACAGTAGCTTTTCTATTTGAAATCGCACTGAAAAACAGAAGGATGCGAATAAAAAGACCGAGAACCATCAGTGACACTTCGGTCTAAATACCATTTTGGATAAATAATAATTACCTTACCTTTCTCACTCTAATAAATTGTATTTTGTGCACTTAAAAAATGTTAATGTCTAATTTTAATAATTAATAAAGTTTCTCGTTGTTATGTTGTGAAGTTGTTTGGTCTTTTAATAAGTGGCAAATGGAAAGAATTCGTTTTAAACCCGTTTTGAAAAAAGATATGGGTTATAAAATAAAAATTATTATTATTGAAATTGTAACTTATTATCTGTCTTTCTCGCTCTAGTCACACATTGTTAGTTTAAGTCTTAAACCATAGGATTCGAGATCTTGATCAGCAAAGCACATTGGATAAAATCTTTTCCAATTTAAAAAAAACTGGCCCTCTAATATTAATCCCAAAATAAACACAATGATTACACATTAAGATTTATTTGAAGAAAATACTACTTTTGATATATAGATTGGATCAGAATAATATAATGTAAGATACATAATATGTTTAAATTTTATATTACACCTCTATAACACGTCCTCTATATGTTGCTCTATTTCTTCCCAAAAACACCTCGACGATAAAAACGAATGTAGCTGCACCGTAGCCAAGGATAAGAAGGTAACCCAGCCACTTGAGGTGCTCGTAACTTAAGGGTCTTACTTTCTGCTCGGCATCTTCGGACCGCGGCAATTTAAAAACCTGCCATGCTTTTTTAAACGTTATTTCCTTCCATTTTTCGGTAATACCAGCCTCCTGCATCCACACTACAAATTGGGAAAGTGGCCACCTGAAGACAGAATCCTTCTGCAGGTAGTACACCCTGGGCAGATTATTAATAATGCCTAACTCCTTGGACGTACAGAAGGTCATTGCGAACTGAGGAAATTTTAGATATTGGACATTTTCCTGAAATATAATATACGCGTAGCTGTTGTTCAGTGACAATATCATCCTGAGCCTTTCCATATCTTCAACAGACTTTGACAAAGGTATTACCCGCTGAAAAAAGTCCGCATCCACTTCACTCTCGATGAAGGAGCGCACTCTCGGGTCCATGATCACGGTCAGTCCACTGTCCCGTAACTCCTCCAAGTTGGTCACCTGACCTTTATAAGGATGCTTGGTGAGGAGGGCGCTCAGCTTGCAGCTGAAGAAGCTGCTGAAGACCATTCCGAAGATGCTCATGGCAACAAAGAGCTGACGCAGAGAGAGGCTAGCCCTTCGACTGATGGGGAACGACATGCCAAGTAGGGCTCGGAAGGCCCTGAGGTTTACGAAAGGATCCAGCCTGGTTAGACCGTGGGGTTGCTCCCTTATCCGACAGATTACCACTTGTATGAAAGTCTCGACCAGTACGAGAGTGCTGTATAGGTAAAATATGTAGAGCAACCACGTCTTCACATCCAATTGCTGGAAAATTTCCGTCAAGCTCATCTCCTGAGCGCAGGGTACAATAAGGATCAAGGAGGATGAGCTGAGGGGATTAACAAAGCCCAAGTGGGCGACCGAATTATTTATGCTTATAAATCGCATCGTTAACTCTATGTCAAAGTTTTCTGTATCCGGGTGGTTACCATAGAGGTATTTCAGACTCAAGTTGGTGCGGCGTGCAAATTCAGATATTTCCATATTTTCTACTGGTGGTATTACAACTTTATTTGGTTTATTGACACCCACGTGCAAACTGTTCTTCGAGGTCTTTACAGTTGCAGTCAATCCATGAAAATTAATTTTATTATAAAATATTTTTTCTTGGAGACTCAAAACTTCTTCAATCTTTTGAAAATGTGAATAAGGAAATGGCTTCAGGCGGTGAGCAGATATTGGTCCACTGGGCTCATCTCCCATCTCCAGCAATAGCAACTCAACAAATTTATGTTCACTGGCCTGCTTGGCGACATTGTCAAGGAATTCCTTGGTTAGTTTTTCTTGTGTCCACAGAATTATTCTCGAATAACGCATATTGTCATAGGCAGCTGCCAATGTGTTGAGGAGGAGGTCGACCTTGAAGACATTGCCCATGCAGACCAGAGCCAATGCGAAACGGTTGAAGTTTTCCCTCACAACTATCTTGGTCGATTCATTCATCCGTAGGGTAGGTATTCCAGAATTCCAGTCATCTAGTTTGCATTTCGAATCCTGGTGGTGCTGAAGTATTACTAAGATCTCGATTGGTTGCTCTCCTTCGATTCTCTGAATTAGTTTATTGAGGAAAATCAGCTGATAATGCACTATTTGCTCTGCAAGGACCTCGCTTAACAGAAGCATCACTAGAATCCTTTTGAGATTTGACATTCTGAGTAGCTTTAAGCGCTTTAGTTCCAATATCGAATGCAATATAAAATGAACTAATGTCGGTAGGAACTTCTGAGGTCCTCGGTGAAATCTATCGAAGGACACGTGTCTTCCAGCGAGAAGTTCATTAACTTAAGAAGGTGGCGCAGGACAGTCATTTCGTTTATCGACAAAGATAATCTTAATTCATTTTTTGTTTAATAGACTTTTAATTTGTAAATGATAGACAGACTTGTACATAATTTGTATTGTATATGTATTATTTTAAATTTTCTGAGTGTAAAATAATTATAATTAAATTTAACAACGAATATGTTTTAGTTGCATTAATGTTGATTGTTAAATGTTGAAGATGCTTAGGCTACAGAGTCTTGAACTGTAGGTAATGAGCTCTCCTTTCGTCGACCTCCTAAAAGGATTTCAATAACAAACGTTATAAGGGCAATTCCATGCCCACATCCTAGAACACACCACACCCATTTCAAGTGGCCGATGGACAAAGGTTCATCCTTTCGCTCGTTGTATTTAAAATGTGTGTGGTTAAGTGCCTTTCGCATATAATAAGCCGAATTTGTCATCCAATGATCCATAATCCCAGCCTCGTTGATTCTAATTAAATATCTAAATATAGGCGTTGCAAATATGGAATTTTTTTTCAATTCATACATCATGGGCAGACCTTGGATGAAGGTCAGATTCCTGGACTCGCACAAATTATTTCGGCCAAATGACTTTTGATATTTTTTAAAGACTTTTTCAAACTCCGAGAACAAGAAGTAAGCGTTGCTGTAGTTGAGGGCTATCATCATATGGCACCCGTCTGTTTGGGACACGTATTTGATCCTCGTCAAGTTGAACATAACTCCAACATTACTTTCTATATAGCGGCGATAGGTCTGACTCGTTATTACGGGCAAGCGACTGGCCTCCAGCTCCTCGAAGTTGTCAACCTGAGGATGGTGCCAGGGCTTCGTGAGCAGAGCACTCAACTTGCAACTGAAAAAACTGCTGGATATCAGCCCGAAAACGCTGATGTATAGCGACAGCTGCCGGAGTGAAAGGCTGGCTCGACGACTGATGGGGAACGACATGCCCAGAATGGCGCGATAGGCACGAAGATTCACCAGGGGATTCAGTATTGTCAGACGATAGGCTTGACCGGATATTCTATAGGTTACCACGAGTATAAACGTCTCCGCCGCCACGAATATGGCATAGACTAAGACAATGTGGAGAAGCCAGGACCTTACATCAATGCGCTTAAATGCTTCCTCAATACTCAACTCCCTGGCACAGGGAACAATAATCTTCAGCGAAGATATGTCATAGGGACTCACAGACTTTATATTAGTCATGTCACGGATGTACTGGAAGAGTTTAACACTCTGAGACTCGCGTTGTATTTCAATGCAAACTGGATAATCGCATGATCCTGTACGCGGGTTATGGGGATAGTTACGTTAGAGGGCAACCTTGTGTACGCTATAAACGCAGCTTCCCAATTAGGAAGAATATAAGTAGTCCGGCCCTTGAAGTTTAACTCGGCAGCATAAAAAATTGACTGTTTAAGGTTCAGTATATTATCAACTCGATCAAATTGTGGATGGGGAAACAGCTCAAGTCGGAGTACAGTAGCTGCCTCCTCAGGCTGGTTCCTTAAGTCTAGGATGAGCATCCGCTCAGTACTCAGCGACTTTGTTTAAAATCTCCCGGAGCAGCTCCTCTGTTATGTCGGTTTGAATCAACAAGATAATTCGGGCTTGCCTTATACCATTAAAGTAGTTGGCCAGCGTATCCAGGAGAATCGTATCAGAATTTCTACTGATGCAGACTAGACCTAATGTCTCATAACCGAAGAGCTTTCTAACATCGATGTGAATTAGTTCATTCGTCCAAAGAGTAGGGAAATCAGGGTGATTCCATTCTTGAAGTACACAGTTCTTATCTTGATGATGTTGAAATTGAAAGACTGTTTCAATAGGACTTTCTCCATTAATCCTTTTCACGAGCTTGTAGAGAAATTCCAGTTGTGAATTTTCCGAGGCTCCTTGACTTAAGCAAGCCATTAACATTGAGAGCAATATAAATTTACAGCACATGTTCATCACCGCTTTAAAGAAATAACCAAAGTAGACTGAACGGTGTACGTGTCCTTATTTCTAGGGAGAAGTTAACCATATTGAAATGTGTAGTATAATATGACAGACGACACTTGATGAATGCCACCACCCATTAACCTAATAAGAAAAGAAGCCGGTGAGTAATATCTGATTCTGAGTCTATTAAAAGAGCATAATAGGTTACTGCTGACATTCTAGAATATATTATTTATTTATTAATGGATATAAAGGCTTGCAAATTGAATTTAAAAGGAGATAATAATGTCTTGGGTTACTAGCAGAATGTAACATGGTATTGACCTTTTTTCATTCAAAGTACACGTAGTTGTAATTTAATGAAAGCATCATACATATCTTAAAGCGTTTGGAATATTATTTATTATACCGAGGATTTTATTTGATATTTAAGATATTCAAACATTTTTTTACTTAAAAGAAAGCTATAAACTAATATTAAGAACAAAATTGTAGACATTGTGGATATTAAACATATGCAATTATGCAATAGAGATGTGTGCGCCAGATTTCTTTTCTTTCTTACATTCCTTGCCCAAAAGGATCTCAATAAGAAACACCACAGTGGCCAGTACATAACCAAAAACTACCAGGGGCCACAGCCAATTAAAGTTATTGAGGGATAGCGGTATCGTTCCGCGCCTAACAATTGGCTCTGTTGCACATTGAGCGTCTTTCGCATATTTTCTGGCGATAACCTCTTCCAATATTGTTGAATGCCAGACTCATGAATACGGTGAACGAACTCTTTAAGCGGTGCCTTGTAGATTGACTTTCCCGGTAGAGTATGCATTATCGGTATGTTCGAGATAATAGTCAGATTCTTAGCTTGACAGAAAACCTTTCGGCCCATGTACCTCTGATACTCTTCAAAGAAGGACCAATTCTCCTTGATCATAACATAGGCGAAACTGTCATTTAACGAAGACAGCATTCTGATTCGGTCTAAACCACTCATGGATATGGAGGTGGTTATAACACGTTCAAAGAACTCCGGATCGATGGAATCAACTATATATGCTCGCTGTTCGTGATCCACCACGACGGTCAGCCCACTGAGTCGCAATTCCTCAAAGTTTTTCACTGGGGCATATAAAGAGTGCTTAGTGAGCAGAGCACTCAGCTTGCAAGCAAAGAAGTTGCTAAAAACGAATCCAAAAATACTCAGCAACAAAAAGAGCTGACGAAGCAAGGGGCTCCAGCGACGGTAGACCGGAAAGGACATGCCCAGAATGGCAGCGAAGGCTTGCAGGTTCATCAGGGGATTCAAGAGGCCAGCATGGTAAGCTCGACCGGATATCCGTTGGATCACAATGCGGATGAGGCACTCCACCACCACGAAAGTGCTATAGACAATCAAAATGTACAAAAGCCAGGTTGCAATGTCAAGCTGCTTGAAGACATCCTGAATGCTCCTCTCCTTGCCGCAGGGAACTGTTACCATCAGTGAGATAATATTGAAGGGATTAACAGTTTCTTCGATGTTCCGTTTGGAAAACATACGCGGACTCAGTTCAAAATCAAAATAATCCGAGTAATCTCGAGGATTAAGCTGTAAAGTCAAGTTTTTCTTCAGAGCAAATTCAATGATTTGCCGATCTTCGTCTCGTATAATTGTAAAATTTCCTGATTTTCCGTAGTTAATATTAACTTTGATTGATGATTTCTTACTGTCACGAACAATCGCAGTCTTCCCCTGAAAATTAACCTTACTTCCATGGAAAATCTCCTTCGAGTTGAGAACATTTTCAACTCTTTCAAAGGTTGGATTGGGGAAAGCGTTGAGACGATAGGCGTTTACAGTATTGTTATAAATTGCTTCCAATACAATAATCTCTATATAGCTATGCCGATCGGCCAGACTACAGATTTTTCTCAGCACTTTCTCGGAGGCCCTTACTTGTAGCCACAGAACGATTCGCGCTTGCCTCATATGGTTAAAGGTTGGAGCCAAATTGTTTAGCAGCTTATAATGCGAAGTCTTAATCACACAGAGGAGAGCCAACGCATTGAAGGTGTTGAACCTTTTTCTTAACTCAAAAGTAGATAGTTCATCGGACCGAATGATGGGTATATTCTGGGGATTCCAATCTTCAATCTGACAACGTCCAGTTCCATGATGCTGCAGCATGAAAATCAACTGGACCTCTTTCTGTTTTCGTATGCCCCACAGGAGTTTGTTCAGAAATTGTATCTGTGGACGCTGCTTTTCCTGCGCAATGACTTTACTCAGGTAAAGAAGTATAATCAACTTTAATACGCAGTGCATATTTAAGAGATAGTGTGACTCAGTTTGAAGAGTTTCTACGCGAATGGTAGGGACTAGACTAAGTTATTCGCCTTGAATTTGTTAATTGCACTAAGCACTAAGGAGACCAAACTGGAAAGTAGTCTAAACTATCCATTGACAGCTGTCTTGACTATCAAGTCAGTAAAAGCCACAAGTCCGAGGAAGTCATCACTTAGCTTAATCAGTTTTAAGTCATGTGCAAGGACATCTATAGCTGAAATGGTGATTCAATCCATTAATGAAAATGACTAGTTCTTATCATCAACCTTGACTTTACCATGAAATATTATTAAAAAATAAATACAAACGCGTATTTCATATTTGTAAGCAACACCATTTTTATTTAATTGAAGTAATAACATAAATTACACAATATAGCAAGCATATTACATTGATATAGATATATTTCGATATAAAATAAAACACTTTAAGCCTCAGAGAACGGAACCCTGGAACTCTTTTTTTCCAACCTATCCCTAATAAATCCCAATAGCAACTCTATTAGAAATACTAGAAAAGCTGTTCCATAGCCAAAGATAAGTAGCGGCCACAGCCAGTTGAAGTGCTCGAGGGAGAGAGGAACTGCCTCTTGCTTGACAACAGATTGTAGAGACATATTGAGCGCCTTTCGCATCTTACCAATCGACTCTTTTTTCCAGTACAAGTTGATACCAGATTCATAAATTCGATTGATAAATTGCCGAAGTGGCCACTTGTACAATGAGTTTGGTGACAAGTAATACATTTTCTGCAAGTCCGAGAGAATGGTCAGATTTTCGGCGTCGCAAAGTATCTTCGGACCTAAGGACTTTTGGTATTTATCTAGGATGGGAAACGAGTCCTTGAAGACAATATAAGCGAAACTGTTGTTCAGAGACAGGAGCAAATTGTATGTTTGTCTCAAATCCAAGCCAACAGTATTTGGGAGAATAGTCTTCAAGAAATAGCGATCAATGTCCCTCTTCAAGTAATTCTCTAGATTCTTATCGATCACCACTGGCATCCCACTGAGTCGTAACTGCTCCAAGCTCTGAATCTGAGCATATCTGGGGTGCTTCGTGAGCAGTGCACTCAGCTTGCAGGCGAAGAAGTTGCTGAATACGAATCCGAAGATGCTCAGGACTAGAAAGAGTTGGTGAAGCGAGAAGCTCCACCTACGGCAAAGCGGAAAGGACATTCCCAGGATGGCGGCGAAGGCCCGCAGGTTCACCAATGGATTCAGGAAGTTCAGGCGGTGGACTCGGCCAGTTACGCGATAGATAGTGTAGTGCATGAGCCACTCAACCGCCACAAATGTGGCATACACGGGGAGAACGTATAGGAGCCAGTCCTCAAATTCAAGCTGCTTGAAGACATTCTGGATGAGCCTCTCCTGGCCGCAGGGTACCAATACTATTAGGGAAACAATAGTGAAGGAATTAGCTGTTTCAGTGACATCTCTTATGGTAACAAGGCGCGGACTCAGTTGCATGTCGAAGTGGTCGATCTTGGGACCCCTAACATTGCCCTGGTACAATTTCAGACTCAAGTTTCTTCTTAGAGAAAACTCCACAATATGTCTATCTTCATCAGAGTTAATGGGAAAACTTCTTTTCGGCCCATAGCTAATGTTGTATCGAAGTATATATTCCCTTTTCGGCAATACAATGGCCTCCTTTCCTTGAAAGTTTAAGTGTTCAACTTGAAAAATAGCGCCGCAGCTGAAGGCATCATCAATTAGAACAAAGTATGGTCTTGGAAACGGCCTAAGGCGGTAGACCTTCACCGATACATTTCCTGAGCTGACAGTGTCCAGGACCACGATCTGACCAAATAGGTATTTCTCCGCCATCGTGCAAACCTCTTGCATCAATTCCTCAGTGGCATTCACTTGCATCCACAGAATGATCCGTTCATTTCGCATGTGATTAAAGGTGCTAGCCAGATTGTTGAACAGCCCTATATCGGAGTCTTGGCTAATGCAAATTACACCCATTGTGTTAAAACTGTTGAAGTGTGTTTTCATTGCAAAGGTGGACATCTCTGTAGTTCGAACTATTGGCATGTCACGTGGCTTCCAGTCCTCAGTTAGGCAATTGTTTGCCCCATGATGGCGTAGGGAATAAATTGTATTGACCTCTTGGGTGTTTTTAATGATTTCGAGAAGTTGGCCCAGAAATTCCAGTTGAGGATGAGGCTGTTCTTGACTCAAGGACAAACTAAGCAGGAGAATTAGCAATGCCTTCGTTATGTAGTGCATGACTGGATGATGCCGAGTTTAGGGCGAAGACCTTCATCAAGTAGGGTTTGGAATGTACTGAACTAGTACTTTTTTATTGGGTGACTTTACAAACTATCCTTCAAATTCAGGGAAACTAAGTATGTAGTTTAAAGTCAAAGGAAACTCACTTAGCTTAATCAGTTGTCAGTACTATTTGTTTTTCTTCGCTTACAAACTCGACATGTTGATTGAATCATTTAATTGAAAGCACCATATGCGGAGGTATCAAGTGAGGACTCATGATGATGGCCTTAGCATTGGCAAAGTCTTTATTGATTCGTGGAAAAATAGCTATAATTAGATAGTAATTTATTGTATAAAACAAAAAATGCAAGAATCTTTCTTGAGGCTGTGAGTAATGATAAAGAAAACAAACCCGGGAAAGACAGCTAACCCGAATACAAATTTCTGCTTAAATAAAGATATTTATTTTTTGCTTTTATTTCCCCAATTGAGAGATAGATGGGCAAAGATCATTTGTATTTCAGTTTGATATCCGCTGATTGTTGCGATTTTTGCCAGAATATCGTGATGACCATTAAATATTACCGCAAATAATCTCACATCTGTCCAACTGCCATTCTGCTGGCTGTGTCTGGCGAAGAGCCACAGACAGTCATTAATCAGGCGGCAAATTGTCACAATTTGTGGCAATTGTTTGTCTGTATTTGTGCCGCTGTAATTATGACAATTTTGCTTAATTGTTTTTGTTGCGGTCACCGCTGCCATTTTTTTTGTTCACATATGATTGTTTACATTTAGCAATTGTTGTTGTTCTTGTCGCCTCGCAAGTCGCTCGCCCGCTTTGGCTTAACGATGCTAATTTGATTAATTTCCCTTTGGCCGACGTACACACAGACGGACAGCGGCCGACACACGTCGTATACGTAATGCACATAATACGCCCGTTACAGTTTATGAAACGTTAATTAGGACCGATAATTGCCGCGAGCATGGGAGGATGTTAATTGAGGCACGGCATGCCGTTTACATTATGCCGATTGGACGAAGCCCGGTCCGGTTCAATGGAATGCCGATTGTGAGCGATTATGACGGCATTCAGTTACAACTAATTGTATCCTGGCTTAGCATAATACCGGGGCCTTTACAGATATTGTCTGCATGACTTGTGGTTGGGCTGACTACAATGTGGGGATAATATTTCATTTTGAAGCAACTGAAATCAGGCCTACATCAGCTAGATATATCTATACTTGTATAACATAAGTATGTTCCAATTCATTCCCCAAATAAAATAAAAATCCTAATTAATGCTTAAATAAATTAATTAATTTACATTTTCTAAGTTCTCTTAAGGCGCGAAATTAAAATTTAAATTGACTTTACTATATTAATGTAATCATTACTGTCCGCCATCCTGATGTCGGTTGTAAATCGATCATTGGGCGGCCTCAAAACCACACGAAAAAATAAAAGAAAATTTCATGAAAAATTTAATAAACAAATCTGATTATGCGTCGGGCACAGAGACACTCTGTCGTACACTCTCACACCCGCAACAGTCGCTCTGTTCAATTTAGAAACCGCAATTTGTATTTTCCTCTATCCGATATACATATAAGCTTCATATATATATATGTATATATGTTTTCAGTCCAATTTTCAGTGCTGACAAATGCAAAAACCAGCGTTTGCCATCAGTACACTCTAAATGTTATTTATAATAGAATTTATGCCTAGATGCCGGCCATCGGGCATCCATGGACTGGCCTGAAATGGACCAAATGCAAATGGCAGCCTGTCGCCAGCGTTCCAATTTTGTTCATGTATCAGATTTTGGTACCCTGGATACACAAATAGACGAAGAGTTTATGGTTTTCAAAGATCATTGGGATACTGAAGTTATTTATAATACAATTTTCTTGGCCTTTTAAGGTTGAATTTCAAAGAGTTGGAAATTAATTTAAACAAATAATAAGATATAATATAAGTAAAATATAGACATTAGATCTACCCTAGATATGAATCGTGTTTCGAATCATAATTCCAAAATCAACGTTAGAGTTGTACGAAATAAACTAAAAATAAATATATATCTCTTCAGATTTTGTTTTCTTAAAAATTGTTTACTTTGTTTTGTTGCATTGACCTGTTTTTGTTTAGCATTCGTTTTTAGCAAAAGCCGAGTCTTTCATTTTTATAAAATCGAAGCCGGCTATGACCTCAAGTCCCGCAATTACGAATGCCAAAAATTGTTTACTTTTTGTATAATTTATTACAAATTTAATATGTAAAGGGCAATCTCTTGTTTTGAATGTTCCTGGATATGTTCCATTATTTGTTTCCATTCTGCCAGCTTGGGGGGTCGACACTGGCAACCACAGAATTCAGCAACAGCAATGGCGGACGGCGTTATAATGAACCATTTTGTGACCAGAAATAGGGCGGGAAAAGAACGGCCAAAGTATTGCCGAAATATTTCCCGATTTCCTTTTTCGCGAGATGCATTTCGAAATGTTTCATAAATTGAAAATGAAATTGAAATGGACACTGGGCAAATAGTGTTTGATATTATATTAAAATAAAGTCATAAATTGGGCAACTGTGTGTGTGTGTGTATATATACCCCTCTCTTTTCCACTTTCACCTATCTGTATGTGTTATCCTTTTCTACTTACCCCAGTCCTGCGTCCCTGTGTGCGTGTGCCCCGAAGCGTTAAAATTGCATGAAAGCAAATCTCATTGGCATTTATGCGCTGTTGTGGCGCCGCCATTAACACGGTCCGACATCGGTGGAAGGGGCAAAGTGGGTGCGCGATGATGGTGGCGGCGCCCTGTCCATTGCGTTGTCAGCGATGGTGTTGGCCTTACAACAATGCCCGCTGGCGGCTTGTGTCAACAGCTGTTGCACCGCCGCGCGCCTCTGGAGTTGCATCATTTTTGGTCTTTGCTCCCCGGCATCCACCCACGCATAACGCAAACACAAATGCAAACGCACACGCTAAAAGGTAAAACAAAACCGGAACAAGAGGGGCAGAAAATGAATGCATTGGCAAAAGTCAATTTAATTACAAACAGGCGTTTTTATAATTTAAATCAACCCGCCTAGATGGCTGCCCCCTTTTTGATGATTTACAATACAATTAGTAAGGGGAGAAGAGAGGGAAAGCAATGTCCCAATTGAATTTATATTTTAAAAATATTTTAAGAAGAGGAATTTAAATGTAAATAAAATTGGAAGAAAAGCTTTAATGTTTGTAATAGTATAACTTAGATTTGGCCACATCTAGATATAATTTTAAAGAGCTCTGTTTTATCTTATTAAAAATATTTAAAGTAATAATTATTATTTCAGTTCAGTTCCACATTTAAGTGTAGGGAATTTCTCTTTAAACTTAAGTTAACTTTAAATATTTTAGTATCTCTCTCACTCTATCCATTTTCTATTTGTGTGTTCTTGCGTGTAAATATAGTTCACACGGCCACTAAAACGGAAATCACTACATACCCACACACACGCCACGCAAAACACACACAAACGAGGAGGTGTTTGGGTGTTAGTGTGCCACTGCAGGCTCTGCAAAGTATGCTACGAAATATTTTCAGTTTCATGCGCCAAGGCTCTACATTCATTGTGCTTGTATGCATGTGTGCGTGGCTCGCCAACCACCCGCCCCTCCCTCTCTTCCGGCCCTTGCTTGCGGCAGAAAAATGGAATTGTTTATTTGCTTTCGCCTTTTCTTATTTAAAACTATTTTATGTGCCTGCTGTCCCAGCGTAAACTTTTGCCAAAACGATAGAAAGTGCAGAAAAAAGAGTATGGCGGCGGGACAGGGAAAGTTCCCGGACAAGGAGAAGGGACGAGCAATTGGAGTGTGAAACGTTTTCACTTCCGTGTTCCTTCGGTCCGAGGCTCCTCCGTCTCCCCTCCCGCAGCACTTTTCTTAACATGCACATAAAGTTTAGTCGATCCTGTACGGTTGTTGGTGCTTCTGCTGCTGCTGCTGCTCCTTGTGCTGCTGGCCATGGCTGCTGGACCAAAATCCCATTTGGCACTGAATTGTGTGCACACATTGAATTTGTAGCGAGCTTAAAACCGGAGCAATCTATGGGCATTAATAGATATTTTATCTCTGCATGTGTGCGACCCAAGTATTTATACGACTCGTTTTTGTGCAGTGTAATTGAATTGCAAGTGCTGGAAATTCTGTGTTGCCTTTCCGGGACTAAAGTGGAACTTGGGTTGGCCTACACGCAGATATAAGGTACCTAGCTTTGAAAATAAATTAACAATTTGCTGGGAGTTTGAAGAAAATTAAAGAACAAATATTAATTATACATATCTAAAATCCATTGCAAGTTTATTGATAATATTTAAACAATGAATTTAATTTGAAATTATACCATAAGCACATTGTTACTGCATATTTTATTGAATGCTACGCCCATTGAGGCTTATTTTGTACACTACTTTCTCTCTGTGCATTAGAGGTACTCCATCGGGGACAGCTGAAGATACCCAACGGTTTATGACGTGTTTATTCGCCACAACAATTGCGACACAATTGTGCCACATGCAGTGACATTTATGTGACCAACTCGAGTGCGAATGAGATGGATAGCGGGGCCGAAAGCGAGTGTTGTCTATGAGTTATGGCTCTTCAAGCGGCAACTGCAACTGCAACTGCTGCTGCAACGCTGACACATTTAACTGGGTGTGTGATAAATGAAGCATGCCAAATGCCAAGAAAAGCCAAGCCAAGTCCAGGCACGTGACAATGCATTGCATTGCAATGTCCGCTGCCTTCCAGTACTTTCTTTAATGGTTTAGGCCCAAAAAGTGCTCAAATTTAGGGCTCAATCTTGGTTAATATCTTGAGCCTCCTTTAAGTAGATAATGGCACTAAAATGTGCTGTAAAATTTATCAGTATTCAAGATTTAATAATTTCAAAGACGTGTATGGTAGGAACTTGTTTGCAACATAAATAAATTGGAATACGTTTAATTTTTTAAGGCTAAAAGTTTAATTTTAAATGCAATTACTTCTCATTCTCTACACCCAAGTCTAATCGCTTAATAACTTCTTCCATTGATATCAATACAAGTTTACTTAAAACACTTTTGCAAGCCTTTTACCCCTACATCTCCAGAGATACTTTACCCATAGGCTGCGGGTTGAGCTAGGCAAATTGATTTCATTGAAAAGGCACAAGTGAAGGGATGTATAAAGGATTCTAGTTTGCCATGTTAAAGCTAGGGAAGGAATCCCATTTCGGCTTGGCATCGACTGGCAACTCCTTGCCAATTGAACAATAAAGTCATAATACTCTTTTCGTGTTCTTCCCCGAGAGCAAGCAGCAGGGAAAGGCTGTGTGAGTCGGGCTAAATGAAATAAAATGCAATAAAATAACAACTTAACACCTTTGGCGCAAAATAGACAGAGCGAGCATAAAAGGAAACTGCCGTCGAAGGAAGCCCCAGCTCCTCCACCCCCTCATTCAAACACACAAACACACACACACACAGCTCACAAATGCGCAGGCAATGCAAAAAGCAAACCGTAAGCGCAGACTAAGCCGATTATAGCACGAAAGTAACGGCAATGATGGGCGGCATGAGAATAAAGGAGCTACACTGAAAGAAAAGACATTTAGGGAAATATTTCACTTTTATTGTTAAACTTTAAAACTGAAAATACTACTATTATTATTAATATTACTTATTTTCTTTTAATATTAAATAATTATATTATTTTTATATTAAATATAAAAAGATTCCTTTTCTTGCTGTGCACAAAAGAAGCAAGAGGTCCTTGGCTGTAAGTGCGTGGCGGGCAGACAGAGACGCAGACCCAGATATAGACAAGGACGGACGAGGAGTCAGGCAGGCAATGAATTATCGCACTAGCTGCGCCAGCAGTCGAGACAAAAGTGTTGTAAAAAATGTAGTACTATTAATTTTCTTTGCATATCTTATTGTATCTTCATAAACAGACACGCACACGCACACACACACATACACAAAGTCTGGGTGAAGCAGAGCCCTCAGGAAACTGGCTTAGTGCTAAGAGATTTCTAATTCAGTTGAGCAGAAATAAATTACTTACCGTAATTGTTTGCCATATAAAACTGTAGCAAAATACCACTGAGAGATCTTTTGGATTGCCGCCCACTTTCCCCCACCCCAAACCCACCTTCTTTGAGCCATTTCTGTGAAAAGGATTCGCTACATCTTTGCGCAGAGTCCTGATTGCCTCCGCCAGTCTCTTATCCGCTGAGAACTTTAATAATTTTTACAAAATTTATATTCACTTGTTTACTTTTAATTTATCTACCGCACACTTATAGTTGACACGAGTGCAAATTAATGCCCTTTCATTTTGTGCCTTATGTGAGCATAAATAATTGTGCAAAGGCAGGCACAAAATTGCGTCGATTACAATTTTTAATTATTTTTTAATGAACTACAAACGGCAAAAAAATATTTACAATAAGTATGAGGGTGCTGGTAAAAAAAAAAAGAAAAAACAACAGTTCTTTACGTAATAAATTTATTCATGTTTAAAGTGAATTTATTGCATGTTTAATTGTGGATAATGTGTCAGACGCAGGCGGCCAGAAGCCAGCCCCTCGCTCCGCTCTACACCCCAACGTTGGGTAATGAAAATTTTCACTTTTATGATCTCAGCTCAGCTGGGTGTAGCTACTGGAGCTATAAAATCGCAACTGCCTGGCTTAAGACTGGATTAAATTGGAATTGTCTGCTTGAAAGGTCTTAAAAGAGCTATTTACCACTAGGTTAATAATGTAAATAAGTCGGTGATAGTGATTTTAGTATCAACTGATGTATTATTGAGCTCACATTGCTTAATTAAATCATTTGGCCTCGTATACGTATGGTTTTGTTAAAATGAGAAAGAGTTTTCGTACAATAAATAAGAGGATATAACTGTTCAAGAGGTAAAATAACAGTGCCGGTGGGCATATTTAATTCACAATTTTTGTTGATATACATTTCCTTGTTGATATACATGCCAAGATCTTTCATTTGATGTGTTAGGTGAACTGATCAAAAGCAAATATAAACTCATAGCCACCAATACTCTTGCCCTTCAAATTTGAAAATTGTAAAATTAATTTGACTGATCCTCTCGGTAAATATATGGGGTAATTTTCAGTGGCAGCCTGGGCGTTTTTTACATAGTATTCCCCTTTTTTCATGCAATTTTCTCCGGAAATGGGGAAATTAGTTTCGGCATATGGTCCTAAGAGATATTTCCTTACGTAGGTAGTGAACAGATCGCATGGCGTCGTGCGCACCTTGATATTTGATTGAATCCACTCTCCATTCTTAAGTGAATATAAATCTATCCATCCCCAGTAGGTGTCATCGATGTCGGCAAGGAAAGTAGTAGTTCCATTTAATAGTCGATTTCTTCCAACAAGTCGAAACGCAGAAACGACCAGAGTCTCTTCCTCTCCTTCAATGGACTTTACCGATTCAAATCGGCCGCTTCCCACTTTGGAATTTCCAAAGCACTGTAAAATTAGTAATGTATTATTTCGTGGTAATAGGTCCTTAAAAGGGAAAGGAAGAATAGGGACGAGACCCGTTTTACAGTTTTTTAACTCACCGCTAATACTGTCCACAGGACCAAGTAAATCTTCAGCCAACAGAGAAACATTTTTATTAATTCAATCGCTCTAATCGCTCGTTTCTTATATATATATTGAGTGTTTGCATGTTCGAACTCAGATAAGTGCCATTTTCGATATATATCAAGTACTCGAAAAGGGCGTGGATATGGCTGTTATAATAAAGTTGTTTTTTAAAAAATAGTGTCATAGATAAGTGCTAGAACTATGGTAGTCATCACTGTACCAAATCTCAGATAAAATAAATATGATCCACAAAGAACCCCTGTATTTTGGTTTCAACGATCATCTTGGACTTATTAAATCATTGAACCATTTTTTCGGGCCATTCGCTGCCACCACTGCCCCCGAGTGAGATGCACTTACGGCAGTTACGTGCCCTTGTTGGCTCCCGAAATCACGCATTAGTTGCCAGTTTGCACTTAAAGTCATAAATTTATTTAAATATATGGAAGGCCCCGAGCAGAACAGGGTCCCACACGTTCGCCGGGTGAAGAGCAGGCGCCGTTGTAAAGCAAAATTTATATTAACTTCATTTTGCCGCGGCTGCTGCTGCTGCCTGCCATGCAGTCATTGCATAACTCATACGCACCGTGTGCCGGGTACCAGTGCCGTGAGCCAGTCAGTCAGCCAGTTGCGATGCGTGGCGGTACTCCAGTCAGCCAGCGAGCCAACCAGCCAGCCAGCCAGCCAGCCATATCACCGACACAAAGCGAAGAAAGGGCCTCGAAAATGGCAGCCAAGAGAATTTTAAATTACGCTTTTGAGTGTCGACTGAGGCTGAGGCCGAAATGCAGCAGCCGCGGCAACTGCAACTGCAACTGCATCAAAACGGGAATGGGAATGGGAACGGCACCCAGCCACCCCATTGCGTGCATTTAATTGCAAATGAAGCAAGAGGAGCGCGGCCAAAGCGCTGACAATGCCAATTGCCAGCTTCAACTCAGTTTCACCCTGCCCATGCCCATGCCCATTCCCATCAGGAGCAACTGCAACTGCAACGGCGAACTGCAAATGACGTTTAATCAAAGTTGTTGAAATTGATAGCATTGTTTGTAGTGCACGCCCGGCCGGCAAACGGCAAAATGCATTTTAAAGTGTGCTAAATGTGTTAATTAAAGTTACCCCTGCCGCCAGTTTGCCTTCCCGCTGCTGCTGCTTACACGGCTTTGCTTTTGCTACGGCTCATTGGCCGTGATCATTGGTTGGGTTCCAAGAAGAAAATCCCATAAATAAATAAGCGAGTAAGCAGCTAGGTAAAAACGCAACAGATTTGAATTAGAAGCGCTGCAAGAGAGGCACCACAAAAGGTAGATCCTGGGAAATTGCAACTTAGTTGCTGTGGCAGGCAATAAAATAAAGTCTTAGCCAAGCGCCAGACAACAGGGCAAGAGCAAGAGCAGCAGTGGCAAGAGGCACTTTTAATTTGTTGTGCAACAAATTAGCATTTATTTTCATTAGGATTCCAACTTGCTGCTGTGTTTGGTCCGTTTGCCCCTCACAGTGTTCTGTTTTTCCATTCATTTTTTGTCAGCTCTTCAGAGCGTTGTTTGCTTTTAATTATAAATACATGTGCGCGAAGTAGAATTAACCCACTGTTATAGTTGTGTCATTATAATAACAGGATATTTATATTATATATAAAATACATGGATAAAGACTGCAGGTACTATGTAAGTCATTTGATTAGTAGATATAAAACATATTTACTATATGTCTTATATATCGTTTATTCCATGCTAAAATCTCTACACAAAAGGGTTACTCCCCCACATCAGCACCCACATTCCACCCCCTTATCATGCAATGGGTTAATGCTGCACATTTCCACCAACAAAGAACTGTGCGCGGAATTCTTGCATTCAATTAATGCGTGTGCGTGTATAGAAAGCATCGTCGCGTCGCCGCTGCTGACCATCGTCGTCGTCATCCTCATCCTCATCGCCATACCCATACCCATAGCCATGGCCATTGCCAGCGTCATCATCACCTTGCCGGCGCTGGGCATTATCCAAGTAAGAGCTCACGCCCGACTGAGCGCCCAACGAAGCTGAAGACCACGGTGCGGATGAGTAACGCTGCCGGCCATAAGACCAAGGATGCCGACTGCCGTAGCGGGAGTTCGTCGTGCCCGTATACGAGTACGGATTGTAGTGGTGCTGATAGTAATCGGACCCGGGCTCCGACTCAAAGTCGGGCCGGGACGAGTGGTCGATGTGTGTGCGATTAGGATAGAAATCACCGCCGGTATGGGTATGCAGAGGTGGAGGTCTTCTCTGCCCGTAATTATAATCATCATCATTGATGTGGGGGCTCTGGTAAGGGTCTGGATGCGGCCGGTGCTGGTGGTGGGGTTTATTAGTCGCAGCTGGTACCGCGCTATAGGGCGATTGCAGCACCACAGTGGGTACAACAATGGAGGGCAGTGGCGGTGGACTGGACGCTTCGGCCGGAACTAAAGCAGCCTGATTCCAAGATGACGCTGCCTCCGACTCTGCCACCGATTCCGTGGCCGTGGTGGAGGTCTGTTCGCGTGAGTTCATCTCGGCTAATTTGTTGAATCGGTTGCGAGTGCCGCTGGCGGTGAGCACCATCACGGTGGGATTCATATCCGCCATGTGATCCTTTAGGCAGTTCTGCAGCATGTTCACGAAGAAGAAGAACGAGAGCAGCGTCAGGGCGTTCATCACGGAGCCGCTGCTCTTTTTCGATTTCTTCGACGACTTGGAGGGCGCCGGCTGCGGAGGCGGATGCTGCGGCGGTGGGTCGTGGTGCGGTGGCGGATATGCGGGCGCACTGCCAGCACTGGGATGGTAGGAAGAGAAGCTGCCGGTGGGTGGGTCATGCTGTAGCTCGTACTCTATGGAAGGCTCGATGGCGCTGCGTATTTAAACTAGCATTAGCAGGGGCAGTCTGGGTTGACTTTAACAGTCGTTAATACACGGAGAGAAAAGTCTGTTAAAATATATGTAGAATGCAACATTTACTACATTATTTGTTCTTTATTTAGACCTGACTTTTCTCTCCGTGCGCTGAGGATTCTACTCTTACCCGTAGCCCGAGTGTCCACTGCTGCCCGACGCGGCCGTATAAGCACCGTTGTGGTTGCTGGCAGCCGCCTGAAGTGACGGTCGCCCCTGCTGGCCCAGTTGTCCCAGTTGGCCCGGGTACCCGTGGATGCCATGGGGGCCGATGTGGTATTGGTTTGGAAAGTAGCTGCTAGGGTAGTAGTGGTTGGGATAGTAATGCATGCGCTGCGTTTCACTGCAAGAAATGGGAAGAAATCGAGGAGTGAGTGAGTCAGTGGCCCTGAGTGATTCTGCAATCCATTCGCCAATCTCTCCTCTGCACTCCGCTCCTGTTTGTGTGCCATATTAGCGCAGCTAAGTGCCTGAGGTATCAGTCTAGGCCGCCTTTGGACCGCTGTTGGTGTCGAAGTGGATGCTTTTGACACTTTGCCCTATAATCTTAAAGTCAAGCTTGAGTACATGCCCTATTTTATCAAACAAAAAAGCTATAGTTTTTATTTAATTTCATTTTAATAACAGTTAATTCCATTTTACTCAGGGAATCTCTTTAAATAATGCATAAGGTTCTCTAATTTCAAATAAATTTTAAGTTAAAAACATGGCTACGATTTCTAAAATATTGAAATATAACAAAGCCCTTATATTTTGGGGCTTATCCATATATTTATCCCTTATATTTTTTTTATTTTTAATCTGCAAATTTAAGCCTTTTCAACTAGCTAACTAAATTCATTAAAGAATCAAACCAGAATTAAATTTTCACTACCAAATCGATATATTACACGACACAAGTTATAGGACACATATCCATTGTCATAATTAGTTTGAAGAATCCAATTATCAACCCTACTGTCCATCATCAAATAATTAAATTAATTTGATGTTGAGGTATCGGCAAGTCCGAATGACAGTTGCCTGAAGATCCCATTGCCTCGGGCCCCGGCTTACGCATAATTATTTCCCGAAATGGCTGACAGCAGCGGATGCTGCTGCTGTTGCTGCTGTGGAAAACTCTGCTGATTCGGCATCAGGCCTTGGGACATTTTCGCCGTCACTGAGCTCACAATTTAATTGCTAATTGATTTGGACCAAACCGGCGCGCGTATGTTTATCACTTGGTGCTAGCTGCTGCTTAACCTGCCATAAACCGGTGGCAACTCGACTGCAGAAGCCGCAAACCGGAGGTGGAGAACTTTCGGGAACCCCAGAAGGAGCAACAGCAGGAGGTGGTGTCGCAGTCGGAGTCAGAGTTGGAGATGGCGATGGAGCGCCCAACCGCAAGTGACAATGTCGCTTAGGCAACTGGGCAAAAGCCTTTGCCAGACACTTGGCTGGCAGGCGGCTATTAACGCAGGTAAATGGAGGGGACTGTCATTGTCAGCTGCTAAGTGAGTTTGGCTACAACTGGCAACTGGTAACAGGTAACTGGCAACTGCAACGGCCTCTGCACACCGCCCAATATCAGAGATGCTAGGTACTTGGGGAAGGCATACTCGTTCTTTTCTAATAACTTTAATGGTACATGTTTGGCATTTAACTTGCCTATAAATAATCTCGTTTTAGCGATGATCAAATAAAGTCATAATGATTTTATTACGGTATTAAAATGTTGTAACAATTTTAAAATTATTTATATAAATTACTAGCTATACATTTTAATTTTTTATGAAAAAGAAATATAACTTTCCCTTGGGTACAACCATCAACTCCATGGGTACATCACTGGCGTACCAAACTGCCAGCTGACAATTGCCGGTAAAGTGTTTTGTGGCCACGCCGGCCAACTGACACACACCTGAATTGGAGCGTTGCGTTGCATGCACGCGCTGCACATTTCGGCCAGGTAGACAATTAGTGCTCGACAAAGGGCGAACCGGCCTGCTCCTTGGCATCTTGGCACTCCCGCACATGCCACTACCGCACCCGCTCCTGTTCCTGCTTCTGATCCGGCCCGCTGTCAGTGTTAATGACGCTGCAGTCGCTTGTTTATTGCATTAAAAGCTCTATAGATGCAGCGTTATGCATCAGAAATTGTCATAATTGTGCCATGTCTGGCCCTGACTTTGCCGCTGTGCCTCCACAGCCGGCACCAAAATGGAGCTCTCGGTTCTTGTGGTCTCTTGTGCGGTTAGTCACTCGAACCGAGCTTTTGGCCAGGCCAGGCCAGGCCAGGCCCATTTGCCCCCTGCCCACTGCGGTTCCTGCTCCTCCTTCAGCCTGCTGGCTTTAAGATTTATGAGCGGAGCTAATAGTTTTCATTGCCAGAAAATACATTTTTGCATTGAATGGGTGTTTTAGGGGATGTTGTGGCTTGCGAAGGTTAAGCTTTTAAAAAGAAGACTAGATTTTGAGACCTTTTCAAACTATGATTTAAAATTGCCTAAAAAAAAGTAATATTTAAATTTAAAAAATATATATAATATAATAACCAATAAATTTACCATAAATACTTAAGCTTTTTATATTTCTATATCATATGTTCAGGCACTTGTAAAAAAAGTATTAACTATTCGATCTTATAAAAAAGCATCTCAAATATCTCACCCTGTTGTCTTTCGTAAACCCGGAAACATTAGACTGTAATAACAAATATTTAACATTTCCGCAGTGCCAGCGACGTCCAACAAAAAAACAAGAAAAACAACATTAGCTGAATTCGCTGAATCAAAAGCATATAATAAATCGCCGAATGCTGCTGCACTGCAACTTGTCCACACATTTCCAGCTTTGTGTTTCGCTTTGATTTGTCGCCCCAGGAAATGTAGAGGAAAAAACTAAACAAAAAGCAAGAAACTATAGGATTTTTGCTGATGCCGCAAAAAAAATACAAGAAAAAAATCAAAGAAGCAAATCAAAAAGTCAAATGCCTTGAGGGGTTGAAAATTTGAGAACTTACCGAGGGGGGGCACGGCACACACACATAAATGGGGGCTGGGCTGGGTGTTTGTGTTTAGCTTTTGTTGCCGGCGCCGTTGTCAACATATTTCAAGACCTCCGAGTCCGAGACGGCGAGTCAATAATAAGTTAACTTGGACATATTGTAGCTGGCCACCAAGAATTTTCTTAGATTTTTATGGCCAACGAAATTGGTCAGTGAGCGAGCGGCCGGCGAAATTTAATGACTGGAAAATGAGGCATTTAAGCCAAGTGCCAAGGAAAGTTTTCTCCTCTTGGCGAACGTGCCGGCAAGTGCCATTTATTTATGGGTCTGCATCTGTATCTTCAGCTCGGTCTGTGTCTGTTCGAGTCCTTGTATCCCGTATCTGTGTATCTGTGCGCCTCGGACTGAAGATGTGTTCGAAGGACAATCGCTGGAGTGGTGCGACGTGGAGATGGAGATGGAGCGAAGGCATACATTAATTGCCGTGATTAACACGTAGAAGCATTAAATTATACAAAATAAGAGTAAGAACATAAAGTCGTAATATTTAATACTCTTATATTTTAGTAGTATGGCTTTAAAAATGTAATTAAAGTTAACTTGTTACTATATTACAGATAGTAAATGTGAAAGATTAAAGAATAAACTAACATTCATTATAAATCTGTGATAAAAACTATTAAAATTTATAGCAAATGTAGAAAAAAGCAAGAAGGTTTTTCCCTTCACAACTTGACAAACTTCACCACCAATTCATAGTGCTCACAGTGAGGATATCGGAGGAAGGCCTAGACTTTGCCACATCAATTATCGCATATGAAGCCAGTGCAACAGACCATCCTTTTGTGTCTGCGGGGGTGCATAAATCATGGGTCTACATTAAGTCCTTGAAAACCCTAAGCAGCTCTCTAACTCCCACTCTGCCGCCGCCCGCTGAACAAACTTTTCGACTGGCCGGGAAACAAAAATAAAAACTCGTTAGGCAGGACTCGAAACGAAGACGCGGAGAGTACGTGCCTGGACTTTGACTTCGACTGGAACTAGCGGGAGCTCACACAGTGTCAAGTGTAAAGAAGAACTACTAATCAGCAGTTAATTCTTATCTTTAATTAAGTGCACGTTCCACCGACCTCCACCGGCCCCCCCCTGGAAGGCAACGGCTACGGTCTAGAGTTCTTGGCCAGGGCTACGACTTCGGTTCCGGCGTTTATGGCAGGAGTCCTGGGAGTCATGGCGCTACTACTTTTTGCTAGCCAACCAACACTTTTGTTTGTCCGCGCTCTCGGCATTGTCCTGGACAAAGGCCAGCGCCGGCTTTGTCCTTTCCCGTCTCTGGTCAATTTAATGAAATAATCTAAGCAAACACTTCTGAAAATTAAGCAGTTTTTTCGCCAGCTTCCGCTCTCAAATTAAAAATGTAATGCGTTAGCCTTTGTTTTGTATTGTTTTTTTTTTGCCGGCGAATAATTAAATGTGCGAAAGAAGTTGCAGCAACATTAACCCGACCCGGCCTGATCCGACTGGCCAATTAAAAAGGCCACGCAACAATGGCCAAGGCGCTCATGCATGGCTTATCCTTGGCTGGCTCAACCCCTTTGCCGCTGCCCAAGATGCTGAAAGTCCCGCGATAAACTTCGGCCAGAGTCAGATATCTGGGGTAGTCCATAAGTCATTACCCCCATTGAGGCACACGCCCACAGGTAGGAGCACAGGTAGCCAAAGTTGCTGCAGCATTCGGCTCTCAAGTTGTTTGACAAACAATACACAACATGGCCGGCGGAGGAGATTGGAGGAGTGAAGAAGTGCTGGTGTCCTGGCCAACAAGGAAACTGGTTAGGGGAACGAGTGCCGCACTCAAGCGTGCCCGTCACATTTTTGCGCTTTTACATGGAGTCCCTAGGCCGGTTCGGTGGTCCCTTCTGCCCCAGCGAAGTGGTGTGCGCCCCCAAAACGTGGCATCAGCATCAGATACATGAAAAACATTTTTTCAGCACTGAAAAGCTGCACTAAAAATAAAATAAAAGATATTTTATTGAAGTGCGGCGTTGGAATGGAGTGAAAGGGAAGCTCGCCAACCTACCTCCTACCTGTCGCGCACAGATTAATTATGCATCGCTAAAATGCTAAGCCAGGTAGCACCGAGCAGAGAGCTCCAAAGTACCGTGGCATCGCAGTGGCCCAAAGGCAAATGGTTAAGCGAGAGGGGAGTGTGTAAAAGCCAAGTACAAGCCACAACAAAATTAAAATCAAAATAAAATCACAAAAAATGTTTTTGGGCAAATATACGGCAGTGAAATGGAAAGATGTTCAGATAACCTACAGTAAAGCATACACTAACTGAAATGGATTCTGCCACAAGGCTGGCAAAATATAGCATATTTATGGCTGATATTTTGCAACTTTAAGCCTCTCAATTAAATATAAATGATATTAATGATGCTACAAAATTAAATTTATATTTCTATCAAATTAATACATTTTTGTACAAATTATGTAATTATGTAATTATAATGAACTCCTTAATATACATTCCTCTTAATATTAATGTTAATTTATAATTAATAAAACTATATTTTGAAGCTACAGAAAACCCCTGAAAATGTGTAAAAATCTCCTTAAAAACTGTTTTAAATATAAATATATAAATAAAAATACATATAACATAATATAAACAAGTCCTGGGTCTTTAAAAAGCAAACCCAATGCAGACTGCGAATTGATTAACCAAATATTCGATTATCCAAAGGTCACACTCAAATCGTTTTCCATAAAAATCCTTTAGAATTCGGCGTAAGGACCTCAGAAATCAGAAATGCCTGTCACAGGCAGAGCCAACAAATCACCATGCCTCTTCACACATCGCGGTTCTGTCCCCCCCACACAACCACACACGGTCGCGAGTCGCCCGCAAATTATTCACATAAATAAAAAACGGACAAAAAAAATTAAAATTAAAATAAAAATTAAAAGCTACAGCTGAAAATCAAGCAGCAAACGTCAAAGCCAAAAGCGCGAAGCTGTCGGAGCTGTCGTCGTGTCACTGCACCCGCGTTCAGGTGCGGGGCTCTAGGGGATGCGGACACGGACACCCATCCCCCCCCACACACACACATACACACGTACACAAGCATGAGGTGTTTTGACTCAAGCGTACATACACAC